ATCCTGGACCACATCCCCAAGCCCAACAACTCTGGCAAGACGAACCAATAGGTGTCAAGCGGGGTTGGATTTTGGGCGAGTTGGAAGAGCGGGTAGCGGCAGCGTGTGTGTTCTATATCTTGTACAGTGCCAAGTATTTCCAACAATAAGATTTCCTTGTCTCGTGACATGACTGAGGGCTGCATGTGTGTGTGTGTGTGTGTGTGTGTGTGTGTATATGTGTGTGTACATGGGCCTAGGGTCCTTGCATCCTGCTGGCCTAGCTACTGTATGCATGTATGTATGTATATATGTGTGTGTGTGGGTGGGTGAGGTTCGGGTTAATAGTTTGAAGAGCAGCAGCAGCAGGCAACATGGCGTCATCCGGGGCAATGGATTTGTGCCTGCCGTCTGGGTTCGCTTGAGCATGCGGCTAAGATAGGCGAGAGCGGCACCCAGAGGCTGATGTGTATGTACGTATGTATGTATGGTAGTGTGCAAGTCAGGACTGTACGTTTGTTGACGACGACCAAGACGTGCACTAGGGGGCTTCTGGACTGTGATGGCATGCTGGCCTCGGCGCGGTTGCAAACAGGTTGCAGGTTGCAATAAGCAAAGCGATGCCCCACCCGTTGGTGCATACTTGCAGTGTGTAGTCTGGCCGAACAGCGCAACAGAGGCTGCACCCGTGCCCAAAGACACTGCACCCTGGCGTCTGCTCGACCCCAAGGCAGAGCTACACGTGTCACGGCTGTCGGTGACACACGCACGTCAGGACGGGCTTTGTCGGGGTTGGGCTCCACGGCGGCTCCCGTCGAGCCTCTTCGCCATGGGTGTGGTAGGCCTGCGTACGGCTTGGGCTGTGGGCGGTAAGGGAGGTGGACAATGAGCATGTACCACGTATGCGACTAGAGCCAACCACTCCACGACTCCCCCAGCCGTGCTACTACGACGCCGCGCCGGTGAGGCCAAAACAATTAAATAGCAGCACAAGTGGGCGGTGCATGTGCAGTAGACTCGCTCGATCGTCTCAGCAACGGTACTGCTGTTGTCGCTGTCACTGCACGGTCGTCTTCCGCCCCCCCGGCTGCTATTAGGTGAAGAGGCCAGACTATTATGTCCCAAACAGCACGGCTGGATTTTTCTCATTGTCATCTGATTTGGAGACTCTGGCGCAGACCTTGACGTCGTCACACGATCCGCCTTGCTCCAGCCTGCGTGCGACCAACACCACCCACTACCACACTACTGCCACAACCCAAGCCTCCATCAGACAGCCCGAGTGTTTCGAGCCCTTCTGCCTTGACTTTCTGCCGGCGAATCAGCGCCCTCCGAGCCCACCACAACGGCGCCGTCAGGCATTCATCAAGCGGAATACCCTGGTTCCCACGGCAGACCTTATTCTGCCGCTCCCCCCCTCCCCCCTCCTCCCTTTCTTGCGCGTGAGCAACGAGGGCGTCAGCATCAACAACGCCGACAACGACAACAACGCCGGTTTCGCACAGAAACACTGCACCGACGCCGCTGGACGTCTGCAGCGTCTGTCGTCTGCCAACACACCGCCGTGTACAAAGTGCATCGCTGTTTTTCGCAGCGCCCGCACTGCCCCGCCCACGCTGAAAGCGGTCAGCAAAAACACCCCCACCACCACTTTCCACCCTCCCGTCGCCCACCCCCGTCCGTCTTGCCCTCCGGATCTCGACTGCTGCTCACCCGCCCCATCTTGACCCATCGCTCGCTCCCTTCCCTGCGCACTCAGGACTCCGGACTCGGCCATTCTCTACCAGGAGCAGGCTCGAGTGCGGCTTCTCCTCCAGCACCGCCAACCTCATGCCGTTAGTCATAGCCCATCTCCCCCATACTCGCGCTATGCCTCGTGCCCCCTCTCGACGCTCGGCCAAGTCGCGCGCTACGTCGTCATCGTCGCGTACGACGGGCAGCACTGCCCCGTCGAGTGTCTCGATTACTCCCCCCAAGCGCCGCTATCATGTCAAGGGCGACACTAACGTTGCGATCAGACTACGGAAGGGAATCATTGTCAACAACCACACGGGCGCGTACGATAACGACGACGACGACGAAGATTTCACTGACGAGGACTCGGCTGGAATCCAGGTCGTCTCCGCCAGTGAAGAGGAGTACAGCACTGGTGAGGAAACCGAGGACGTGGACGACGAAGAAGAAGAAGACGAAGACGACGAAGACGACGAAGACGACGACGAAGACGACGTAGAGGAAGAGGACGAAGGTTCGTGGGACTACATCGACGAGATCAACCCCTCAGACTCTGCATCCCGCCCACGCGCCGTCAAGCACCACTCTGCACCACATCGTGCCGTTGCTCATCACCCCATTGTACACCACGCCGTACACCCTCCTTCGGTAGCTCCACCTCGACAAAAGCCGTCTCGTCGAGAGCGAACATCTTCACGCCACGCTGCTCCTGTTCCCGATCCCCCCTCCCGCCACGAGAGCCACAGCCGAAGCCACAGCCGAAGCCGAAGCAAACTGGATCGCCAACGCAGGCCGCGACGGCAAAGGCCTCAATCCGTCCCTCATCAGGAGCCTCTCGAAGTCGAGGACGATGACGATTACCCATATCCCCCCCAAGTTCACGGAGCCCCGCCTCATGGTCACCCAAGCGCTGGCTGGGGCCATATACCCCAGCATCCGCCCAATGCCTTTGCACCTAGCATGGTTTCAGATCCTCGATATCAGTACGGCTACGCAGGAGGCACGCAATCACCCCCGGGTCAATTAGTCCCATTCGGCCATGACTCCCATGCTGCCTATGCACAGAACCCCTTTGCACCCAATGGGCAAAACCCCTTCACACAGCCGCCCCCACCGGCAGCAGATCCACGCGGCGGCTACTTTCCCGAATATCAGGATGCTCGTTACCAAGACCCTCACCAGGCAGCACGCAAAGCCCACCGTTCCTCGATGCCGGCGGCACCTCCTGGGGAAATGATGCCTTACTCACCGACAGGCTACTATTCAGCCTACGGTGCTCAGCCACATGGCATGCCCCAGCACATGTATCCCTACGGATCTCCTGAACACGCACCACCACACTCAACACACCCATCTCCACCTCCACCTCCACATCATCCACGTCCACCTTCACAGAAACCCTCTTCAAAACGGGCTACACCAAAGCCTCAGCACGAGGAAGAGCGTCGTGCCGCCCCAACTCCACCTACACCTGCACCTCAACCTCCAACTCCAGCTGCTGCCCCCCCACCTCAGACTCCAGCGCAGATGCATCTGCAGTTGCACCAGCCGATACAGCAGCCATTGCAGCAACCAATGCAACAAGCATTGCAGCAAGCTTTGCAGCACTTGTCGCCAGTGCAGCAAATGCAACACATACAGCAAATGCAACAAATGACGCCAATGCAGCAAATACAACACATACAGCAGCTGGAGCAAATGCAACAGTTGCTTCAAATGCAGCAGCAAATGATAGCTACTCCTCCGCCCGCTCCACCTGCACCTCCGCCGCCACCTGCTCAACCAGATCCCAAAGAAGAGGGCATGCTGGTTAAACTCGAGAAGCTCTTACTCCACAAAGCTGACGAGGAGGAAAAAGCAGCCGAGCAAGCCAGGAGAGATGCGGAACTTGCCAAATTTACCCGTCTTGAGAACTTGCTCATTGCCCAACAAGAAGCCAAGATAGAAAAAGAGAAAGCTAAGAAGGAGGCTGCCGAGAAGGCTGCAAGAGAGGCTGAAGAAGCGAAGAAGAGGGGTGACGAGGACAAGCTTGCCAAATTGGAGCAACTCATTCTTGCTCAGAAGGATGAACAACTGAAACGAGAGGCTGCTGCAGATGCCGCCCGTGCTGCGGAAAAGGCCGCTGCAGATGCAGAAGCGGCCAGAATCGCAGAAGAGAAGAGACAGGCGGCCGAAAAAGCCAAAATCATGGTCGAAGCAGCCGAAAAGGCGCGAGAGGAGGCCGAGAAGAAGGCGGCTGCCGAAGCCGAAGAGACTAAGAAAGCTCACGAGAAAGCTCTTGCTGAAGCCAAAGCCGCTCAAGAGGAACTCGAAAAGGCAAAGGCTGCCGAGGCTGAGGAGATCAAAAAGGCTCATGAGAAAGCTTTGGCCGATGCCAAGGCTGCTGCTGAGGAATTGGAGAAGGCTAAGAAAGCTGCCGAGGACGAGGCTGCTGCTCTCAAGCCATCCGATGCACCAAAACTCCCAATCAAGTTCAAGGATGCTGTTGGGCGTAAGTTCAGCTTCCCATGGGAATTGTGCAAGACATGGAAGGTAGGTAAACATTCATTGCGTGAGGTTGAGTGGCTACTTACATGAGATCAGGGCATGGAAGAACTTATCAAGCAGGCTTTCCTACACGTCGATGTCATTGGGCCTCATGTGCACCAAGGCCACTACGATCTTGTGGGACCGGATGGCGAGATTATTCTACCCCAGATCTGGGAGACGGTAATTCAGCCTGACTGGGCCATTACCATGCACATGTGGCCTATGCCAGAGCCGCCGCCACCACCACCACCTGAACCAGTAGTAGAGGTTTTCCCTCCGCCACCTCCACCACCACCGGATGCGCAAATGTTTATGTCGCAAAATCTCCCTCTCAGAGGCAAAGGTAAGAAGGACAAGAGCAGGAAACGTGAGTCTGAATCTCACGCCCACGTCATTACAGTTCCTCCTCCCCCTCCCGCAGGTGCCATGCCTCCACCACCGCCACCTCCTCCTGGCCACCCCGGCGAAGGTCACCATTCGCCACCAGCCGTCATTGTCGTACCTAGCGGCAGTGGCGGCTCGGGTCACTCTTCACGCAAGAAGCCTACTCCCTCGCCGTTTTTCCGATGGGCTGCCGGTACCGCTGTCCGCAAAGACTCGTCCAGGAAGAAGAAGTAGGAGAAGGAGAGGTGTTGGATGATTGATGAGTTTGATGTGTTTGATGCGTTTTATGTGTTTTATGTGTTTGAAATGTTTGATTTGATTGGTTGACCGAGTTGCCAGGAATGGGTTTGGCGTTTGCTTCTTGTCTGCTCTTCATGTGGATTGCGGAGGTGCAAACCCATGTGCGAAGATACCATCCTGTTGCGATTAATGTTTTCTGGCTTGTTTCCATGTTGAATTCTAATACATTCTATAGCAGCCTGTTGTTGGATCATTCTTGTACTAATGTACTTTGTCTGTGTGTGTCTCTCTCTCTCTCTTTCGTCTTGTGAGTTCTATCCTAGTGTTTGTCTAGTTACTGCTCCTTGATCAGCTGCTGTATTCTTGGGATATGCTCCAGAGCCTCAATATACTGGCTTTTCTATCTCAAACATAGAGTCACAACAAGCTTTGTACATTGAGCAGATACTAGTAGGAACTGGAGATTGATTTTGTAAAATGTTTGGGAAAAAAGAAAAATCCATCATTCATTGTATTGCATCATTCATTGACTTTGTTGGTAAATAATTCAAACAAGTCGCTCTATTTTTCCTAATTGAAAACACACCATGTCAGACCTCTGCGGTAAAGTCCTTTCGGATGGTGAGATTTTCAAAGTTCTCTTGATTCTCAATCACCAGTCCCTGCTCATTTGCTAGATGCAGCAAGCAGATGAAGCAATAGCTTGTAGAGATATCTGCCATTGTTTGCTTGGGGTACACGGCTTGCAGGCTATTGACCACCTTGGTGAAGGTCAGGGAGCCATCGACTGCCTTGACGGCCGGGTCGTCGACAGCGTCTGGCTTAGGTGGCGCGGAGATCTGTTTGTTGCGTTAGCTCGCTGCTGGTCGAATGTGCAAGTAAATCAACGTCTCGAACAAGTACTTACACCTTCGAGCCCGATGCCCTTCCACAACTCATCCTTGAGCCTCTTCACATCCACCTTCTTCGCCACCCGGGCGTACTGAACGTATTCTGGTCGGAATCTGCGACTCTGTGTCACTAGTTGCGCACCAAATGCGTCGGCTTGTGAACTTGGTAATGCGCCATCCAGGGGTTGTGTAGCATTCGGGGCTTCAGGGGCGGGTGAGAAATGATCTCGAGCATCTGCAAAGTCTTCATCGTCGTCAATAGGTCCGCCAGGCATTGGCAAACCGTCGTCTTGGAAGAAGTCTGCATCGTAGTTCCCTTGTGGGGCGCCATCTTCGACGTCGTTGCCTTGGTTGGCCCAGTAGGCTTCATCAACATGACCATGTACAGGTTCACTGGCTGGCGGCTGCATCCGTCGTCCTTCCCTTCGCGGACCCATGCGCGCTTTAGGTTTGAGGAACAGCCGCAGTAATTGTCTAGAGTTGAAATGCTTGTCGTCTGGAAGCAGGTTCCGCGACTTTGATTTCCATTGTGCTTTTGGTAGCGAAATGGTGGAATTTGACGTTGCAGGCGTGTAAAGCATATCTGCCAACGACTGCGACATGGGCGCAATGAAGTCAATCTCAAAGGGTTCCTTTTCTTTCCTTTTGACTGTTGGAGCTGCCTTGCCCATGTGCTTGACTCGCGAAATTCGCCAATGCTCCGGTCCTGCCCAACTCTTCTTGAGGGCTTGGTCGAAGTAGCTCAGAATGTTTTCTTGTTCTTGGTCGCGACCATGCACCATGGAGACGCCGTACTGAGCATCAGTACCGACAGCACCCTCGCCCCCCTCTCCGGCTTCCTCGTTGTCTTCAATTCCCATGGTATGGACGCGAGCTTGTGGATCCCGGATAGCTTCACGAGCCCAGACCTCACCACCTTCACCAAAACCAGTTTCTGGAGGTAGGTCAAAACCACCCATGTTCACGTCATCATCATCGAAACCCATAGGGTTTTCATCATCAAGGAAAAGACCGGATCGATTACCAGGTTCGTCTTCATCTTCATCTTTGTCCTTGACGTCGTCGCGCCAGTCATCAGGGGCCTTGAGGAAGGGAAGATCCATGGAACCATTTACATCTCCAAGATCGAAAGTCTTCATTGAAGGACAAACATCCTGTCCATCAAGCCGGGATAGGTCGGGAAAGTATTTGGCAGCCAGTCCTGATATGTTGATGTCGATATCGTCGAACGACTGCGCATCCTGTGGCTCCTGTGACTGCTGGCGCGAATCCTCGAGACCTGCACTTGGACGTGTATCTTCAGCGGTGGCGTCACCCGCATCATCGCTGCTATCGAAGACAATTCGGCCTTTTCCGTCAATAGCTAGATGATTGAGCAGTAGACCCTTTGCGCCTCCTTCGTCAAAATCGGCAGATGCCTTCTTGAAGAGTGGGTCTACAGAGAACTCGAGTTCCATCTTCTTATTCTGCAATTGAGCAAACGAGGATGCCAGGGTAGCTTCAGCGGAACGTGCAGCCCTTTTCTTGCGCTTCTTCTGGCCATCCTCGCCATCCTCTCCTTCGCCATCGTCGTCATCACCCTCTTCTCCGTCTTCAGCATCGCCACGGCGTTTTCTGCCAGCATTCTCTGCGAGTCCACTCAAAAGTTTACCAGTATCGGTAGCGACGCTGTCGACTCTGCTGGTGTAGATTTTGACGCATCCGTCCAGAGTGCAACTCGCTTTCTGGAAATTGACACCGTCGCCTTCTTTGAGCAATGACATTTCATGGAAGTAGTCGATAAGTGCAAAGTTCCATGAGTTGTTGGCATTGATTTTCTGTTTGGAGATGTTAGCATCTGCGTCGAGTGCACCATCATGGGCGTACATTGTCTGTGGCCATCTTCATCCACTCTTCGAAATTGGCCAACAGCGGCATGACACGCTTGCCTGGCGTGACTGCAGTGCCGGTGATGTCGGGCATGCCATCCTGGCCTTGGGAGGGAGTGTGGGGGCTGTCCTGGCCTGCCGCAAGTGACATGCGCTTCCTGGCGGGCGTTGCAGTCGATGCTCGCAGCGAGTTACGCTGGGCTTCATTCTGGGCGTGGCGGCGGTTGGCCTTTTCCCGGCGGTCGTCGTTGAGGGGTACTCTATGCGAGTTAGCCGGGCCCAAGGGCGCGACGTGTAGAGAGCGGATCGGCCTACTTGATGGGCGTCTTCTGCGGCGAGGCAGCCGTCGTATACTTTGCCGTGCGCGGCATGGCTGCTATGGACGGGTGGACGTGATAGCCTGTGTAGTGGGGGGGCCGGCGGGGAGTCCAAGCCGTGGTGGTGTTGGTGGTCTTGTTTGTCAACAGCCAGGCCAAGGTCCGAGCGTAGGGCAGAGCGCCAAGAACAATTACCACGCGACGGGTGGATAGATCTGCACCGCCACGTATCCGCTTCACCGCCACACAAATCCGCCTCAACGCCACACCCACCCGCCTCAACGCCTCAACGCCACGACAAGACAACGGCCAACCAACCCAAGTGACGACACCCGCGGCAGGGCCTCTGTCGGCCTCCTGCCTGTCGTCGGTCTACGCCATCACCTCTTTCCCCTCCAACCTGTTTTCTTCTACTTCTCCCAAACTTCCAGCATCATTATCGCGCAGCCGCTTCCGCTCTCCGTCCGCTCGTCTGAGCACGCCGACTATTGCGCCTATCATAGCCCAGGCGACAGCAGCGCCCGCTTCTGCTCAAACGCCTCGCGCTCCGTCTTCCGCCGTCCTGTGACACCCACCCAAATTGCTCCCCCCAAAGCATTCGAATTCGCCGCCTTATCCATTGCGACTCGCCACCTTTCTTCGCGCTGCCGAACCACCTTTGCGACCGTCTAAAGAACATGTCGTGACCATGAACCACGACGCCATACTTCAAACTGTCCAGCGATGGCGGCGCCCACGCTACTCGGCACGCCCTTTTGCCCTTACCATCCTCGCCATTACCCTCATCTCGTTGCTTGCATGGGCAAAGACACAGGCTCGTCCAGGCGCGACATCATCTGGTTTACTGCACAAGAGGGACGTTACGATCCTGGATCAAGAGTGCCGCCTCGTCCACCATGCCCATGACCAGTGCGCTTTTGTACGCGCAAACTGCCCTGATGAAGAAGCCGGAGTTATCTCATACCTGACTTTCTACTACTGTCGCCTGCCTCACGCAAAGCCAGTCGCTTTCGCCCTTATGACCCTGTGGCTTGCTCTCCTCTTCAGTACCATTGGCATCGCAGCGAGCGACTTCTTCTGCGTCAACCTCAACACCATTGCGCGCATGTTGGGCATGAGCGAAAGTCTTGCTGGGGTGACCTTGCTTGCCTTTGGAAACGGCAGTCCCGATGTCTTCTCCACTTTTGCTGCCTTCCGCACCCACGCAGCAAGCCTGGCTGTCGGCGAGCTTATTGGCGCTGCGTGCTTCATCACTGCCGTTGTCTCAGGCTCCATGGCCCTCATTCGCCCCTTTCAAGTCGCCCGCAAGAGCTTTGTCCGTGACGTTGGCTTCTTTCTTGTCGCCGCTGCCTTCAGCATGGGCTTCATCATTGACGGCAAGCTGCATCTCTGGGAAGCGATCAGCATGGTTGCCTTTTACCTGTTCTACGTCGCTTTTGTTGTGGGTTGGCACTGGTGGCTCAACCTGAGGAAGGCGCGACGGGCGAGGGCTGCCACTATGAGGAACCAATATGTCATGCCTAATGGAGAAGAGGAAGAAATTCAGGAGTACCATGACGAGGAAACGTCGTCCCACAGCAGAACCTCAAGTCATGGCATATCCATCGAAGACTTTTCCATGCTCGAAAACGCCGGCAGTGACGAGCGCATGATCGACGATGACGACAATGAAGAAGAGCGCGAACGTTGGATGGGCGAACTGACCAACAACATGCGCGTCAACCGACCCAGCAACTCGCGTCGCAACACGCACACGCCCATTCGTCCCAGTCTGGTGGGTGCCCTCGAATTCAGGGCCGTGCTATCTTCGCTGCAGAAGTCACGAAACATTCAGTCCATGCCCATCAACCTTCGTCGATACTCTGACGATCCGACCTACACCACTGCTCAGCAGCAAAAATACATTTCACAAGGGAATCACGCTACCCCCCAACCTCCCTTTGACGCCCAATCCAGTGCCTCTGATGCGTTAGCACACGCGAGCCGATCCAATCTTGACATTAACTATGGTCTGAGTAATCGAACTCGAGCGGTGTCAACCAACGACATCGATAATGTCTTGTTGCAACCTAGCACCCTTGAGGGACAGATCGTGCCCGACATAACACTTGCTTCGGCAACCCCTAACGACCGAGACACGTTATTGAACGCTCCCCTGTCGCCAACTATCTCCCTTTCTCCACCAAACTCTCCATGCTCATTTGATCCGAGTTCAAATACACCCAGAACAAGGTCAACTTCATCCAACATGCTCGCACCACCTAGCAGTGATAACAGGGCATCGGTCCGCCAAGGCACATCGTCACCCAGCCCTTTCTCTTCACCGGTCATAGAAGCCAGCGACCGCCAATCGCCTCCAAGTCTGAGGCTGGTCGTGCCAGATGCTAGCTCTCCGCCAATTCCCTTCCCCGCTTACACTGATTATCCTTGGTCGGCGCAATCGGCTTCGAGACCACCAAGCCTTCGCCCGCCATCTCCCAGTGCATCTTCAGTGTCGGGATATTTTCCCAGAAACTCATTCGGTTTTTTTGATCAGACTAGAACCCCTAGATGGTGGCCATCCAGTCTTTTACCCGTACCTAACGTGCTCCTCGCAACCCTCTTTCCAACTTTGACCAACTGGAAAAGCAAAAGCTTCTTTGACAAGATCTTGGGATTGGTAGCAAGTATACCTGTATTTCTACTTACAATCACACTACCCGTGGTCGAACCTCCGTCGGACGAGACCGAGACAAGCCATCCTGAGCCCTCATTCGACTTTGGTTTACCAACATCTCCATCAACCCACATTGGCAGTACAGATTCACATGCGCATAATGTTTCTATTACTTTGCCATCAGATAGATCAAACAACGTTACGTACTCCAAGGATAACAGACCCTCCAATTTACCCATGCCTCAGAGCAACAGCAACTCTTCCTCGGCCAGTGCCCGTCACACACCTCAAGTATACATTACAGGTACAGAGGCACTCGCGCAATCACCTGAGCAGGTCCCGGCACTCAACTTGTCCGAACCGACGCAATGGAATCGCTGGCTAGTTATTGTACAGATATTCACGGCGCCGTTGTTCATTGTCCTGATCTTTTGGGCAAATATGGAACCCGAGAACCCTCGCGCTCTGCTGCGTCATACTCTGTACTCCTTGATCGCTTCACTGTGTGTTCTGGCACTGATCCTGCTCACCACATCTCCATCTCGACCACCCCACTGGCGCTCGGCACTTTGTTTCCTTGGATTCGCTGTCGCTATAGCATGGATTAGCACAATTGCCAACGAAGTTGTTGGTGTCTTGCGCACACTGGGCGTCATCCTCAACATGTCTGATGCAATTCTGGGTCTCACCATCTTCGCTGTTGGAAACTCGCTTGGCGACCTCGTTGCGGACATTACTGTTGCGCGTCTCGGTTTTCCCATCATGGCTCTTTCGGCTTGCTTCGGCGGCCCCATGCTTAACATTCTGCTGGGCGTGGGCTTGAGCGGATGCTACATGGTGATATCCAAGGGAGAACATCGACATGAAAAACACCCGAATCAGTCAGTGCATTTCAGGCCTTATCACATTGCGGTTAGCACTACACTAGTCATTTCTGGTGCGACGCTACTTCTCACTTTGTCTGGCCTGCTTATTGCGGTGCCTTTGCGCAAGTGGAAGATGGACAAGGTTATTGGCTGGGGATTGGTCACATTGTGGTCTCTGAGTACAGTTGCGAATGTTCTGGTAGAGGTACTGGGATATAGTAGTAGTGTTAGCTAGAAGCCAATGGAGCAACCATTGAATATTTCATTTGGCGTGTATTGCCGTGCTATATTACAGTAGGTTATGCCGGCTTTCAGAGGACTTGTACCGTGTGTCTGGTATGGAACATGTTTTTTTTTATCTTGATCTTCATCTTGGCTACAACGAGCTCCTGACACTGATGAGGGAACAAATAGTCCTGGATGCTGGGCTTCACGATTGTCTTTAATTTTGGCATTTAGAGTACAGCCTGTAGAATTCCCAGTGTTTCCCACGTCTAGCACTATGCATAGTCGTGATTATTCTTCTACCACTTTCTTCATCAAAATGTAGGTGTTGCTATGGTGTTCAAAGTCAATCCTTGCTTGGCATCCCTATACTCCGACCAGAGTCGGCCCGTAATTATAATGTGGAGCAAAACTGTATAAAGTAAAATGGCACACCAGAACGTAAATTTTGAGTCACACATGCCATGTCACGTCTCCCGCCCATAAAAAAGGAAACACATTCTTCGTCCATTCTACAAATTTCAGCTACAGTTGAAAATTTGTTCTTAAAATACTAGTCTCAAATTAATGTAAGCATCGAGAAGCGAATCAAGCATTCAAGTTTTCCTAATGAGGCATAGTATATTGTGGAACATCATTCACAGGTGAAGTTGGAGTTTGGGGTGGTTCGAATATTAGAGAATTAAGTGGAATGTTGTTGTAGTAGAAGTGTTGAATGCTGGTGGTGTCGTTATGTCTGGGGACGAGATCACACTTAGTATATGCAACATGTTGTCCCTGTCAAAATGTATCTTCACGCACGTTCTCTCGTGAAAATGGAGTCTAGAGTATCGATCGTGACATTGAAAAACGGTCATTCACCTCGTAGTGCGATGTCGCATTACGAGATGCTTCATCGAGTAGTCATAGGGGGCTGCCTACCTCTTCCGTACTGATCGGCCAAATAAACTTCTGATATAGGAAACACTTAGGTGATAAAGAGCTTAGAAATGCTATAGCGCGCTGGCAAGGACCCTCTTTTTATTGCCGTATCCGGCTTATTTTTAGAAGTAGTACTACGAACACGAACCACATGTCCGAACTGTGTGCATCACCAAGCTCTGAAGGCTCGCTACTCGATAGCCGAGTACGTGCCGCACAAGAGGATGATTGTGATATTGATAGTGTGCATCAAACAGGAGTATCGCAGATACTCAAAGAGCTTATACCTTCAACTAGTTAACCAAGCAGCGATGATTGCCTGAGATGCACAGGGGCCTACTATACGGATCGATCCATTCTCGTTGCAGATTGGAAATATTCATCCACTTCACTTCCCTCGGTTGGTAAGAAAGATTTAGTGAGGTTGGTTCTTACCCTGGATTGTCTTTGTACGTGACAACCCTTGCGCTTGAAAAGTCTGTTACTACTGCTGCTAGTAAGCATCACTCACTAGAACTACTAGAGTACTAGTCCGCGGCATCTCGGAGAATTTCGCGCTTGTGCGTCGGCGCTTGACCTTCTGCCTCATCACCTACTGTGTACTAGCGACCACGATGGCGATAATGCGGACTTGCTCTCGAACTCTAAATACTTGGCTTTTCTCTTCGGACTAAGAAGTGCGCACCGAGAGAATAATCAGCGGCCTGGAAGATGTATCCCAAGTAAATGCGGAACATAGCAGATGGCCATTTAATCTGATTAGGGGTTGAGTTTTCGATAGGGAGTTTAGCTTCGGTACAAGTAGCAAAAACAGGTAAGGAGATAGCGGGGAAGACGTCGGGAGGTGGAGGTAGGAGGTTCTAGTATACAATGGAACGGGCCGTAGAAGGTAGTGGGGGATCCGGTGAGTCCTTTAGGTACGGGTTGGGGGCTATACGCTTTCCTCTCCTCTATTGGTTCAGCCTTTTGATAGATACACTTACTACTTGAACTATTACAAGGCCCCTCATATCATCGGATATTTGGTATAGTATGCATGGGCCATGAATCATGGCTTGGACTTGATGGTTCAAATGCCAGGAACCAAGTATTCACGCAATGGTAGACTGGAAGTTCGTTTTGAACGCTTCGCGTAGTCAGGAACAGGAGCCATTTTCTCTCCCCGCTACTTATTCAATCTGTACGCTTCTCAAATGCATTTTGTACCCTTTCCCTGACTTCTGGTGAGGAAATCTCTTTGTTGTAGCTCATCCCAACAACCGTGCATCCGTTTCAGAAGCCCCCACTTTAGTGGAATACTACTAGTTTCCAGCAATGTGGTCACTGAAATCTAAGAACCTATCCGAGAAGGCTCTTTCCTGGCTTACTGTGTACGCACCAGTAAAATCGATTGGCTATGGTCTAGGCGAGACGGAATGTACCCGAGTGCGCCCTTATTATGTCCGCACTGTTTACTGCAGGGCAACAGTATCATTCGGCTCCACTATCACTTGGCTTATGCGGCATGCACGTAGCCGTTTTATCCACTCTTCTTCCCTAGGATGTAGAAAATTCAACCTGCATTGTACTCATTAACTAAAGAATAACCTAGCACACGATTTCGTCATTAAAATTTACGTCCTAGATCGTTTCTGACCAAGTGAAAGTTGCTTTTACGAGATGGTCCCGGATGTTTGAGAGGGGCCAAAAGGCAATCGGGCCGAACACTGCTTGACCCGGGGAACCACCAGATAACGGGAGCCGGGAAGGCCGTGGGTATGCTTACAAGGACCCATTAGGTTATTCTGTTATCGACTATAATACAGCCAAGATAAATATTGCGATAGACATAATTGATTGTAGCTGGAAGTTTCTATTACGGGAGATGAGCCCATTGTTGATGCGGAACTTTTCCGTTACGTTACGTTCTAGCCTCGTTACTACTACGGGGAATGCCAAGCCCAGAGTATTGAGCAGTAACTACCGTGAATGTGTGGATTATTGAATGCGGGATATGCAACAGAGAACCCTGTCTATACACCCTGGCTTGATGATGTTCTCCGTGGGGAATCATACGACGAACTCAATGATAGTCGCCGTCGGGGATCTTACGACAAACTTAGGTAGTACGGACGTACTACGCGAGTCTGTATGTGAAGATATCGAACTTGGCGATGTTGTGTTTATGTATATAAAAGGCCTGCGGTTGCTTCTCAGCCATTTGTCCTACCACGCTGATTCCATCTCATTCGAGCTGAAGAGTTACTCTGATAAAACAGCGGTTACTCATGATGCTTCTCTCCAGCACCATCCTCGCGGCCTGCTTGGGACTCATCGTCCCAGGCAATGCTTTCTCGGAAAGGCGAATTGACAGGAGCATTCACGAACAGCGTGCAGAAGGTTCTTGTTCGGGGGAACAGGCTCCCGCTGTTGCTCCGCACAAAAACTTCTGGGGTGGCTTGACGGCGGCAGAGACTAGAGATGTCTTGGCTCTTCTGCACAGTGACGCTGTCGGCTTCAATCTTACGAATGCAAACAATGCTACAAGGTACGTTGGCTCTGTCAAAGGGTTTGCAACAAAAGCATTACTAACCCAGTATACAGTCGGGACAACAAAGTGTATGTATGAAACAAACTAGGCACTTGCGGACCCATCTAACAAGACTGACCGGATTTCTAGCATGTCAGTTGAGCTCATGATGCCCAACAAGACAGACGTTCTTCCTCTGCTATCCAACAGCAGCGGAACTCCGACTAGGTACGCGTTAGCTGCGGTAATGTTTGGAGTTCCGGAGGAAGCCTATCTTCAGGAATTCAAAGTCGGTCCTCTGCCAATCACTAATGAATCGGCTGTGCTACCTTTCACTTTCGCCAACACTAGGAAGAACCCAAAGATCTCAGTTGTAAACCCTGACACGGATGACTATGCTGCATTTAATCTGCAGAATATGAAGGAAGCGGAAGATGTAACAAAGAAGCTTTGGAACCTTGTAAGTACGATGTGATCTCTTGACCGTATATCCAAGTGGCTAATATGAGCATTTAAAGACGGTTGATGATGGCCTCCAAATACCCCTGGCTTTTGCTGCTCCCATTACAGCATCTGAAGGAAAGGTCATTATGTGGCAAGGATTTAATGCTCCAGTCACAAGCATCTACGATACAATATCCCTTCTGCCTCTAGGCCTCTATATGAGAACGGATATCACCGGCCGCGATCCTAGCAAGTGGGCAGTGACTGGCTGGGTCTATAACAACGAGTTCTACCCAACACTTGATGACTTCCGCAAGGTTATTAATCAACCGGACTTCAAGCCTTTGGAAATGAACGTGGACGAGCCCTGGGCTCATACGCGAACAATTGGAGACCCCTTGCCTTTTGAAACCCTCCCACCACCTGCGTCAGTCCAATCAGGCAAGGAAAGATTTTCTGTTGATGAGCGGGAGAATTACGTTACTTGGAGTAAGTTGATATCTTGGCGTCGCATTGAATTCCAAAATGTATCTAATGGCTTTCTAGTGGATTTCTCATTCTACGTCAGCATCACCCGCGACAATGGCTTGCGTCTCTACGATATTCGTTACAAGGGCAGGAGAATTCTCTACGAGGCAAGCTAGGCTTTTACATTGCTTCTTTAGTAATGTGGCTAACCAAGATAGCTTGGCATGGACGAAGCCATCGCACATTACGCGTAAGCAAACAGTCGACGCCTGAATACTTTCATAATATGCTAACGTAGTGACTTGATGAATAGTGGAATAGACCCGGTACAATCAGGCACATGGTATGGCTTCAAAATCCCTAGTGACGCACGCAATTTTGCTAAATGGTTTACCTCAGCTACTTCGACAGCATGAGCGGCTTTGGACCCCCAATGATTTCCCTTGTGAGAGGTGAACACCAAAATTTTCAATGAGTCATTGAACATATTGCTGACATAAGTTCCTCTAGGCTACGACTGCCCAGCGTACTCCCATTACCTTAATGTGTCTCAAACTACCGGCGAGACTACATACACCCAGAATGACGGCCTATGTAAGACTTTCCTTGAGACCTGAAATGAGTATCACAATACTAACAGAATAAGGCATGTTCGAGATTGACAAAGGGTTTCCCATCCAGCGTCACTCCTGGGCTGGTTATACAACTGTCACTAAGAACATTGCGTTCAACGTTCGCGCCGTCTACACTATCGGCAATTATGACTACATGACTACATATCAATTCTCCCTTGATGGGTCAATTGAAGTCGCGGTTCGGGCCTCGGGGTACATCTCGTCGGCATTCTACGCCCAAAACGAAGACTATGGTTTCAAGATCCATGATAGCCTCTCTGGATCCCTGCATGAACATGTCATTACCTTCAAGGCTGACTTTGACATCTTGGGAGAAGCTAATTCACTACTTAAGGCTGCTATCGTGCCGACTACTGAGACGTATGATAAATCCCCTCACAACCCTAGCATCAAACGAACCGTGTTAACTTTTTCAAAGATACAAATGGTCCAATCGAACTCACAAGACGATGAAGATTACGAAGAGCTTCATTGAAAATGAAGATGACGGAAAGATCAACTGGTCGCCTAACAGTGGCCCAATATACGCCGTTGTCAACAAGGACGCTCCAAATAAAAATGGCGAATTTCCTGGTTATAGGATGGCTCCAGGTTCGTCACAACACTTCTAAATAAGCCATAGCGTTTGCTAATCATATCAGCGGCCAGTGTTTCACACCTTACGATCGAGGATTCGGATGTCACTCGAAATGCGGCTCACCACACCACCCACCACCTCTACGCTACCAGACAAAAAGACAACGAGATTTATGCAGTGGGCGCATATAACTCGCTTACCCCTGATGATCCTCAAGTGAATTTCAATGAGTACTTCAATGGCGAGTCTCTCCTACAGGAAGACATCGTTCTATGGTTCAATTTAGGTATGAAACATGCACCGCATTCGGGAGATTTACCGAATACCGTCTTCTCCACGGCTCACTCGGCCATGACTATCGAACCTTTCAACTATTTGACCGGAGATCCATCCCAAGCAAGCAGACAACAAGTCTTGATCAAGACCAAAGATGGCAAAGCAGAAATCACCCGTTACGGTGCCCAAGAAGCTACTTGTCCAATTGACTTGGTACGTTACTCTATAGGTAGATGAAAATCAACACTAATGACCGTACCCGCACAGGCCCAGCTCAACCCAGACCTCTCACAGTACTCGAATAGTATCAGTATACTCAAATATCCATTCGATGGATCGAAGCCAGATCGTGCTTAAGCACGGGATGTCACGGATCATTTCATTGTGGGGTGGGGTAGGCTCTTAGGGAACTGAGATAGCCGGATGAAAAGTGCCCCTGCCACAACAACGCCACTACTTACATACTAACAACCACACCACGCACTACTTAGCTATAGACATCAAGCAAACAGATAATACTATACCCACTAAGACTTCTCGTACATTGATAGATTTTACAACCCTGTTTGTTGTGACCTTTGCAGTGATTTGGGCTGATGTCTTGCGTGGCTTGATCCGGCTGAGTACTTGTTTTGATTTCCCAAGAAGTAGGACTCCAGTCTCTCGTCACACCAGCAAGCTCAAATTGCTATGGCTATAGTGAGTGCGCTTTGAGCACCCTCACCCGAAGAGAGAAAGGTGGCTGGCACAAGCAAATCCAACTGGCAAGGTTACGTATAGAGGGCTGCAAGAAACGAGTGAACAGAGTAGTGAATGGTGATACTAGCGTTTTAGTGAGCGCTTTAGTTTCAACACATGATTCTAAACAAGGGATTTGTTGCTTAGAAGACACAGTGGGTATATTATTCTTATCATTTATGAAGCTAGGTAACACGATGTAGTTTGATATGTATGTATCGTTTCATTCATACTGCTGATGACCGAGCATTATCTTCAAGAGCACCGGTCTTTGAATACATGCATGTTCTCGTTATCGTTGTGACTTTTATGTCCTGCACCACTCCTAGTATGAATGACCAAGCATTCACTACAAGGGCATCGGTCCCCAAATACATACATGTTCTCGCCACCATTGTGGTTATTGTATCCTGCATCCCTCCCAGTACGCTTCCTCTAACCGTTGAATCGAATCCTTAGTACGCGAAAAATCTCTTCCCTATACTTTGTTAGCATACACAAATCGATTTTTGTCTTATCTAAGGGTGGACCTACAGTTTATCTGGAGGTCACGGGAGGAGTGTTGGGTGCGGAGGCTATAGGAAACATGTTTCATGCGGAGGTTGCAGGGTGAATGTTTCGCGTGGAGGCTACAGGAGGACGGGGTCGAGCGGAGGTCGCGTCAACCATGTTTCATGGCCTCAGGACTTGGATGGGGCGGCTTGTACTCACAAGTAGTTAGCAGACTGCATGTGTTGTGTTATGTCAAAGGATTCTACTTTTTCAGTACTAGGCAACGGCTCTTGGACGGGCTGGACCTGGACCTGGCTCGCGCTACCAGCAGCAACATCCTCACCACCACTATCCATGTCGACGTTGTCTTCGTTGATTTCCATGCGCTGAATCATCGCCTGAGTGTCTGCAACCTGGTCGTCATGCACATGCACGATGCTTTCGTCATGTTCCTCTGCTTCCTCGTTTTCTACCGCTTTTGATAGCTCTTCAAGTGACATGCGAATTTCTTCCATGAGCTCATCCAGTTTGCTGTTTTGACCCTCTGGATTCCAAAATCGAATCGACGTCCACAATGCCGTGGCGTCTAACCAACATTTGCTCGCTTCGTACGGGTCCTCAAGTGCTGAGGCTAGCATCAAGAGTGTCTTGATCCGGTGGTAACGAGGGATATCAGGGTCTTCGAGCATCCCACGAGCTTTTGCGACACACTCATCCAGGCGACCGTCGTCATGCAGCGCTTTGGCATTGTTGAACTCCTCGCAGAATCGAATGTTGATGTCGTGTTGGTCAGCCATGGGCGGTGATAGAAGCAAGTGTCGGTTATGGTGTGGGTGTCTTGAGAAGAAAAAGGTGGGAGTGAGGGTAGGTAGAGAGGGTAGGCAGTGAAGGTGAATGTTTGCTGCAAATTCTTTTGCGAAACACTCACCATCACGATGCAAACGCGCACGCATGAGCAAACATACGCAAAAATGCAAACAACAGTTGCCCTTAGGCCAAAAATTTTCACCTCTTCAGCACTCAACTGCCACACTCATTACAAAACAACGAACCGACCGGCCTTCGCGATGCAGTCACGCAGGTCGAGCAGGGCAACCTCGCGCAAGAACTATGCGGGGATGATAGTCGCTGGGAATGATGCTCACTTGGATCCTACGGCAGACGATTCTTCTGAGTCTGATCCTGAGTCTGCTTCTGACGAGGCCCTGTCGAATACGATCAAGGACCGGATCCAAACGAGCTAGCGGAAGCCTTTGCAGGGGACGGTAGCGAACAAAGGAAAGGAAGAGTTATAGTTCCAGCTGCAAAGGCAGGAACATCGACCTAACATTCGACAAGACCGCAACCATCGTTGATACGTAGCTTCCTTGAACTCGTTAATAACTATAAGCATCGGATAAAGCCAGGATCGCAGCACAAACGCAAATCAGTATACCATTAGTATACCTCTACCTATCTACTGAACTTGCCACTGTACGCCAGTGCGAAACGCTTCCACAAGCTGATTGAGAACAAGATGATTCTATACAACTACAACCTAAACTGTAGTTCGACAGGCGCAGGCGCGTGCATATGGCTTACTTACGCGCCTCGCCGGAACTCGCCTACTAGTCAGTTTTGCACCGGGACCCTGTTTCCTCACGTGGACATTATGTACCTGCTTTGGACTCTGTTGATGCTCCACTATCACAAACCATGAACGCGCGCATCATCGCATCTTCTGACACGACACACGACACACGACACCAACGCTACCCGGCAGTACATGTACTCGATTGTAGGCAAACGTGACCGCAACGTCTGCTGCGACTCTATCCTACGAGATTTGGAATGATTGAGCCGGCTAAACTTCGGAAACGGCATTCTGGCTGTCTGGTGTGTTTCCTGCACAGTCTGCATTTCGCCTCGCTTAGACTGAAACTGGTCGAAGAGCGCAGCCTTGGCCTGCAATAACGGGCCGTGGATGCGGCCTCTGGACCTGATCTTGAGCGTGCCTCGGACGCCAGAGAACACGGAAATTAAGCCCTAGGAGCTGGAGCCAAGGCCCTTACTCGCTACTCCGCCTTGCAGAAAACGGAAACTAATCGTTCTTCGTCTAGTCGACAGTGGTGGCGTTCTGTGTGGCTGTCATGTTCTACCGGTGCCTCTATCAGTCGCTGTTCATCGTCGCACGACACTCTCCAACAGAACCTCACCAAATCGATATTGTAAGCCCTTCATTCCAGTAGGATGAGGAACAGCCTAGAGTATCCCAGCGGATTTGATCCTCTCTCAGGGGTGCAGCATGAATTATGTCCTCTTCTGGCCAAGCGCCACCATAGGATACCAAACCGGGTAAACGTACCGTATCAGTATAGCCACTGTCCTGCGGGGCCCCACAATCAAATTTAAATAATATATTCCACCAAGTAAAAGCTGGCAGAATAGATTGGAATAGCTTCCATGATTCTTCTCTGAGCGCCACCAAGAGCCTCTATGCCTTAAGGACGATACTTCGAAATGATGGACATCACGAGGCCAATCTAGATAAGGCATTGAGCCAATCGAGGCGTTGGCTAGTTTAGATGAGAGGGATACAGTCCATCACAGGAAGCAATTCCGTCCCACGCCTTTGTTCAGAAGTACAGTATAAGTAGAGTAGGAATTCCAATTCAAGAGTGTGCCACCCACCGCTCCTTTGACAGCATCAGCTTCTCCACAATCAGCTCACAATGGCACGTTACGCACTTCTTGCGGCAGCCCTTTTGGGTTTCACAGTCGCCCAAACCCCAGGAACCACTCCTGAAGTGCACCCCAAGCTCACCACATGGAAGTGCACCAAGCGCGGCGGATGCAAGGCGCAGAACACTGCCATTGTCACAGACTCGGCTGCCCACCCCATCTACCAGAAGAACAACTCGACCCTGGGCTGCGGATCCTGGGGTAACGGTCCCGACCCCACGGCCTGCCCTACAAAGGAGGCCTGCGCCAAGAACTGCATTATCGAGGGCATCTCCGACTATTCGACTGTAGGCGTCTTCACCAAGGGCGCCGACCTCCGAATGGACATGTACAACCCTGCCGGCAACTTTGTCAGCCCCAGAGTCTACCTCCTATCCAAAGACGAGAAGAACTACGAGATGCTTCAGCTCACTGGTAATGAGCTTACCTTTGACGTTGACATGTCTAAGTTGCCTTGTGGCATGAACGGTGCCCTCTACCTGAGTGAGATGAGAGCCGACGGTGGTCGCTCTAAGCTCAACCCCAAGGGTGCTGCCTATGGTACGGGCTACTGTGACGCGCAGTGCTTCGTGACCCCCTGGATCAACGGTGAAGTAAGTACAACCTCTTTCCCGTCCGACTACTTCGGGTTTGGAACACTATAATACAGCTAATGATCCGATGACCTACATTTCTCGTTAAGCATGCTAATTCTCCACAGGGAAACATCCAAAAGCAAGGTGTCTGCTGCAATGAAATGGACATCTGGGAGGCCAACAGCCGCTCCACCTCAATCGCACCGCACACATGTGGCAAGCCAAGCATCTTTGGCTGCAACGGCGACGAGTGCGGCAAGACCGGTCTCTGTGATAAGAACGGCTGCGTTGATAATCCATACAAGACCCGCGGCGACAAGTCCTACTACGGCCTGAACCTCAAGGTCGACACAAACCGCCCCTTCACTGTCGTTACCCAGTTCCCTGCTAAGAACGGCGTGCTTCAAGCCATCGTGCGCAAATACATCCAAGATGGTGTCGTCATGGACAACGCCGTCAAGAACATCACCATGGACCAGGCATACTGCTCTGCACAGGGCGGCGCGGAAATGTACAACCAGCTCGGAGGCCACAAGGTCATGGGTGATGCCATGTCCCGCGGCATGGTGCTTGCCATGAGCATCTGGTGGGACGAGAGCGGCGCCATGCAGTGGCTTGACAGCGGTGCTTCCGGTCCATGCAATGCCACCGAGGGTTTCCCTGCTGAGATTGTCAAGAAGGTTAAGAACCCAACTGTGACTTTCAGCAAGATCAAGTGGGGCGAGATTGGCTCGACCTTCTCAACAAAGAAGGCGATGGAGAAGCGGTGGGAGGCTTAAATTGCTCTCCTTGCTTAGAGAGCTTGGAAAATCATTCTGTATGTATATATTGAGGGTTGAATTGATTGAATGAAAGAGTACATATTCCACATTCTGTGTCCAATCAAATGCATGCATGGTATTGTAAGGCAGCAGTTTCGGCAAAACGTCTCTCAGCTCGAAAGCCCTGCAACGAGTCTGGTAACATACCAATTCCAATGCAGAATCTTGCCATGTCCCTTGTACATAACTTTCAATTGCTCATATTCACGCAAACACGACGTTGGACGTTTGGACAAGAACTGTACGTAAGCCGTGCAGCTTACAAGGCGTCCCCCTGCAAACTCTAAATACAGAATGTCTTGGTCCAGATTCCGAACCCCACTACCACGTGTTTGAACTAATGATCGTTTTTCAGTCCCCCTTTTTTTTTACATCCTAGTACTGCAGCAATGTTTTCCCCTCTTGTGGATGCACTATTTCGAACGACATGCGGGTATCCGCCACCTGGAGTGGAAATGGGGTGCGCCCTGGCTGCAAAGCTAAGCCTTTTTCCCTTCCCCTTGACTGAATATGACTGAAAACGGAGAAGCAGGCTTGAAATAGAAGACTCATTCTTAGCCGCATATCTCACTTATCCCTAGGAACAAGTTTATGTTATAGTGATAAAAAGATGTATACCAATGCGTTGTGTCCTAAGGTTTATGCATCACAATCAAAGTGAAAGAAAAGATTGTCGTTGAGACCACTACAGTTTCCGATCTAGTCGTTTTGGCAATAGCAGGAAAGAGATGTGCAAAAGAGTACAGGGTGACGCGTTCCAACAACAAGCAGGCCATGTTCTTACAAGCAAGGATGCTTCGTTTTCGCGAAGTCACATGACACCACAACAATCATTCCTGTTTTACGAACTAAAAGGCACAATTCAGATAAAAAATTTCCTAGTATATGTATTCATCCGAGCTTACTAAGAAAAAAATCAAATCAATGACTTCTTAGACAGTTGTGGTACTGATATGGAAGTGCACAACTACATTGATTTACTGGTGTCTAGTTGACCACAAAGCCCGTCAAATATGATCCTCGTACAAGGACAACTTGTTGATTTGGCGTTTGGCCGGAGGCACTTGTTAAAGAATTCAAAGATAGGTTATTGAATCGATGGTTTTTTGTATAGAAGCAATACCGTCTCTATATATTGAAACTCTAACAATGTTTATGTTGATCTAGCATTGCAAAGCGGCTGAGAACAGCGCGAATACCGTGCGGGCATGCCGGGCTTGACAAGAGGACAGAATCATACGATAAGCAACGCATGGAAGCACCAAAACATTTTGATTTTCCTAAATTCTCCTCCAACATTCTTACACCGCCCTTCATTCAAAAAGGCTTAAATCCGCACCGCGTCGGTTTCAGAGAAAGAAGTACAACCACAGCATTCCAAAAAGCTTTGCAACCAATTTCAATCCTCTCTACTTTTGTAGATTTGATCATGGAGTGTGTAATGATATCCAAGGCGCCATGAGAAGGCTGTCGGTCTAAGAGCGCCTCGCTAGTGCCCCGACATCCGTCCAGACCAAAAGCTATATAAATGGGAACCCGCCACATCAAGCAAACAAGATGCCAGTCCAGGAATCGACATCAGCCAGTGAAACCAGGATACAAAAATACAGCAAAATGGTCAGAATCGCCATCGCAGGCGCAACATCAGGCATTGGTCTCGCCTTCCGGCAATAACTCGACCAGCAAAAGTCTCACGAATACATCATCTTGGTCCGGAAACCACTCCATCACGATTCAAAAGCTGTTTTAGTCGACTACAACTCAACAGCTGCACTAGCAGATACGCTGCGCGCACATGCTATACACACGGTCATCTCTGCTCTTTCAATCAGCGATGAAGCAAGTGGTGTCGCACAGCTGCGACTCATCGAAGCCGCCAACCAGTCCGGATGCGTGCAGCGCTTCTTACCCAGTGAATTCGGTGTGAATTATCAAGAAGGGTAAAGAAAAAAATCTCTCTAAACGCCAACGTATTCAACATCTAAGCCTAACGTCGTAGTAGGGTCTTGGATTACATGCCTAGCTACGGCTTCAAGTTCAAAGCTCGCAATCTGCTCGCCGAGTCGAAAATGGAGTACAGCATTGTGTCCATCGGCCTTTTTCTCGACTACTACTGTCCGCCATCGATTCCATCGGCTCTGGATCCTAACAAAGGCGCTGCCATGTTCATTGATTTGCAGCACAGATTTGCAGCGATCCCTGGGGACGGTAGCCAGCCGATTGTGCTGGCCCACAGCACCGATGCGGCCCGTTTTGTCGTAGCGATGCTCGACCTTGCATTATAGCCTCGCGATTCTCTCTTCGTTGGCGAGCGTATAACGTGGGCGGAATTCTTGCTATGTGCAGAGAGTATCCTAGACGTCAAGTTCGAGGTTCGTTATGATGACCGCAAGAAGATTGAGGCGGGCGATATAACGTTGACCCCTAACTTGGCGGAGCGGTTTCCCGCTGATTTTGCAAAGGGCATTGTAAAGGGAGTTGCACTCGAGTATTTGCGCGGCCGTTTAAGTCTTCCGCAGGAGAAATGCAGGAATGAGATTCTTTCTCATACAAAGTGGCTTGGAATTCAGCAGGTACTGCATGCGTGGAAGGTGGCAGGAGCGTCCTGACACTTCTCCTCACAAGCCTGTTCCTATAAACTTCTCTTATTGCACCAGATAATATATATATACTACAGAGGGCCACCAGAACACTTTAGCGTGATGATAACCTGGAAAATACTTGATTGAGTAAGCTACCATAGGTGTGACCTTCCAATTTTCTCGAGCTTGACGGACACACTACCAGCTTGAGGCGAGTTCAGCAGTCTCTGATGTCCGAATTCATAGAATTTGCAAGGAAACGCTGCTTCGTAACCCAGCGCTTTCAACTCATGCTTGACTCTGATAATCCTTTTCCAACAAACAATTATAAGAAGCTGTCAAAAGATAACACTAAGCCGGCGGCTAGGATGACCCAGGAGAAAGTAGAGGCTAAATATCTTTCAGTGCACATACATGTCGGTATTTGTAAAGATACCCACCCTTTACGCCGCCGCCGACCACTAAGCTTTTTGCAGGTTTTACTATACGAAAATGAAAACATCATATCTGCAACGGTAGGCCATTAGGGTTAGGGTTAGGGTTGAGGTCAGTGTGGGCCGATATTTAAGCCCAAAGCAATTTCCGGCATTTTCAGACACTTTGAAAACGGTTATGCCAGTTATACTTTCATCGCAGTACACTTCAGTCCTTGACTGACTATTCTACGTTTATTGTGGACTGTATTGGAACTGTGCAGATGCGGTACTTTGCACACTTTCCCAAAATGATCTTTTGTCATACATCATATGTCGTATGCTCACAGTGCCGAAGGTACCGATGAAGCGTTGCAGAGAAGTTTCACGCTCCGGTAGTGCATTTCACACCACGTCTGACCTAAGGTCGGCACCTGGCCACCACATGAGAGTGCCCCATTCTCCATCATCATCAAGGTTTGGATTGTTGAGAATGTCCTATTGACGGTAATGAATGTGTTAGACAGCGTGCTCTCGTATCATGGCAAATTAATGAACAGGACTTACGCCATTGAGAGACAGGTCAATCAGACAGAAGGAAAACAAATTTGCATAACCAATACCATTGGTAGGGCTCTTATTCGCTCTTTGTGCCGTCTGTCTGGCTAGGTTGGCAAGCTCTCGAACCAAGGGCCAATGCATGTCGTAGATAGAAAATTCTAGAAAATTGAAACGACCGGCTAAGAGGTTCATGAGTCCAATATCTGGCGCCGTAGACAGAAATTTCAGGATATTGGACTACATGTATGAAAAAATGGATTAATGTTCCTAGAGGAACGACAAAAAAACAACCTGTTTGATGCGCGAGGTGAGCATGAGCGGTTAGTGCAGCAATCGCTCATCTTAGTGTTATACGTACCATTTTGGGCAAGCAACGTTGATTTCCTGTTGCAGCATTTACGAGACAAATTTTCTCGTTGCTTCAATGCTAATATGAGTGCTGTTCTGGTGTGTGTTATACTGATCCCTTTCTCCGGGTTCGATGTTTACAGGTATAGCGTTCCATGGGTGGATGAGTAACGAGTGAATTCGCAGCAACGTAACATAGTGCGAATACTGCTGATAAAATATCGTTTCTAGTGTTATTTGGGCTAGTAATGGCTGTGCGCTTGGATGTGGTGGGAGTTCACTCTGCGTGGCCCAAGGAGGTAAGGTGTCCCATAAGGCTTGCAGCTGTCCAGAAAAGTTGGTTACGACTTCTGATATCTCGCTTAATTCTGTTTTCTTATATCTCAGCATTGTCACTTTGGCGTTGAGTTGCCCATACAACCGTGCTCGCTGAACCGAGCTTGTGATCATATGCAACAGAGGTGTTTCTCCGGACGGCAAGTCGTTAGGCAAGGGCATATGATTTCATTGTCAGAGATGCCCTGCCAAATGTTAGCGAGTGCCATGAGTTCATATAGCAATAGTCTGCGTAGCTGCAGGTATTGGCATGGCGTACCACTGGCGTACCAGACCTGCCAGTATTTTCCCTTTCGAATCCGTAGATTGCCCACCACAGGATGGAGCGTGATAATATCGATGATTGACTCAGATTCCAGGTTGATGTACCCTTCCGATGAAGCCCCTTGGATTCTACAAGCTTCATGGCACTTAGACAGAGCATATAGTCAATAGAAGGACATGCTACGCCCTCGACGTAGTAGCTCTATGCACAGTGACGGGCGAGCAAAGTTATCTACGGCTGTCTGAGGAGTATCGAGGTGATGCTTGGGCAAAAGGAGGGCTCACCATTGTCATTAAGGCTTGGATGGCGAGTAGGCTGGAATGGTAGAACATAAGTTGCGTATGCACGGACATTGCGTTGCGGAAGAATCTCCAGCTACGAGACTGGAGAAAGTCCTTTGGCTCTTGGGATGCTCCCGAGATGACCACAAGGGTACCACAGCCATCAGCGAAGACGATATTCCGTAGCGCATACCATCCTCGTCTGTTCGTTGGCGATCAATTTGGCGATTACCGCCACTCCTTTCGAAGTGACAAGTTAACCCAGCTCGATCATACCCGCCAGCACACTATCGATAATGAGCATCTTGCCTGTTGGTAGACCAATATTGGCTTCCGGACTCATGACCAAAGTTGCATTACAAAGAAGTCCAAGCCTGTTCATGACCCACTGCACCACTTGGGCTGAGTTGAACGGAAAAACAGTTGAGTAGTCCCCAGCCCATTATGTCCAACCGGAGGGGACCCGCAACTCAACATGGCATTTGCGCAACTCAACCGTGTTGGAATCGTGTCTCTGAGACATGCGCGATTTGCGTGGCTTGCCGGAGAAAATTGGAGCGTGCTTGGAAATCAATTTCCAGGCGCAAAATCTTGACGAAACTGTCTATCTCCTTGTGGCTACTCATCAAACAAAATCGAATACCTTAACAGGCGTGGCTTCGAGCATCACATGATCGGCCAAGCACGCCGCACCGTTCTTCAACATTGCATTGTCTATAGAGGTCAGGAGTTCCTGGTATGTAGAAATTCATTCCTATTTTCGACCCGAAAAGGATGCACAAAGGTTGTAGGTCGCTCCTTTTGCCCCGTGATTTCATGTGCGACTTGGACATTCTCTTGTCTTCAGTGATGTTTTTTCTCTGTACGAGGGCTTATATCGTGAAAGAAGTCTTAATCTCTCAGATGTGGTTTGCCATGGAAGTCCTGGGGCTTGATCGGCAGCGAATAAAACGCGTTTGCTTTAGGAAAGCAAAACTGTCTACAGCAGCATTACCACTGTTAGCTATATCTATTGCTAGGCAAAGGAACGGTCAACAAAACTATGAAGCTATTTCTGAAATGCTTGGACATATCAGTAGATATCTTCAACATCGGTCTGAAGACTGCGACCAGCCAATACTTACCTTCCCTGAGTTTGGCGGCAGCTCTGGGAAAGGCTTTGCCTTCCATGCGCTTTGGCCAGAAATCGATGTGTATGTAAACGCTTTAGAGGCATTATAAATCTTAGATTAATCCTCTAGCAGCGACTTCAAACACGGTATTTGTAGGTGAAAGTGGTCTACATGTTGTTCGTGATACATAAATCTAGCTGATGACCCAACTGGATGAGATTTGACAAATGCGAGCAACCTCGCTACAGGGCTACATGAACGCGGATCGGACCTCAGGAGAGTGCAGGTACAATAAGGGATGAGTTAGATACAAAACCATTGACTTGGCGCATGTTAGCATCAGCGGGTATGTAATAATGTCTAAGCTCTACTTACGATCTGAATTATATCGGACCATTTGAGCCGCACTAGTAATATTGTGTCAGTATAATGCTTTATAAAGACGAGAAAATACTCACTATTCCGGACTTATTGTCGCCGAGATGTCATCAACGAAAACGGTGTCGTATCCCTATATCTTCAGCGTTTCGAAGCAAGAATGTCTGGATTCCATTTACTGACCTTGAAATATGCATCCAGGAGTGTACCATACTATAACACAGTTTAGCTTTCACTCTACCTTTTTTGGGAGGAACAGCATACTACGCATTGATCAGAGTTCACACCCCCAAAGAAAAGAGTAGTGATCTGGTTTTCTTCCAACCAAAGGCCAAGCGGTGTCTGTGCACCCCACATACCGCTCACACGGTCTGATTCTGCATTAGCAATTTCCGTCATCATGCTCTACCTGCAATCTTACTCTTGTTGAAGTAATGGTCGGTCCCATCCTTGACGCCTTGAACTTGTGCATCGTACAATTTTCCATACGGCCTTGCATTCCAAGAGCCGCGCATCAACATTCTGCCCAACTCGGTGCCATCTTTCAGTTTCCCCATATCGCTACCGAACGAATCTACACATCTTAGTGCTATTTCACAGCACACAAAACCGTAGAGAACTTACCTGTAGGGCTACGCTTGGTTCGCGAAAACCCAGAGATGTCCGCGGGAGGCAGATCCCGGAGATCCCTACCATCAAGACCCCAGTTTGTCCAGAGCACGGGCATACCATTTCTACGAAAAGCATCGATCATGTTAAGCGTGGGCTCCACTGCTTTCCGCCCTCCTTCAGCGCTAGGAGTAAGCTCAGGGTGGAGGAAAAAGTTTTGCATATCGATTATGATGAGCGCAGAACGTGAGGGCTCAATGACAGCCTGTTTTCGGGATCCTGTCATGGGTATAGTGACGGGCTTGGTCGTTGGCGCAACCATGGACCGCGTCAAGTCGTATGTATCATTTCCGATGTAGATCCAATGATTGTAAATATTTCCAAGGAGGGTGGTATTGGCTGTTGGGAGCGTGATATTTTGGTACGCGGCGATGATGGTGGACGACACGAGTGGCAGAGCTACCACAACGGCTACCATTCCCGCAGAGAGTTTCATACTTGTTAGTGCACCGTCAGTATCGCATATAAAACCAGCAAAGGATATATCGTGGAATGGTAGAATGCGAAATCAGCTCTGCTTTCATAGTCCGTTCTGAGGTCCTGTATTAAATAGCGCCACCACATGCAATAGCTGGCGAATGGTACGAATACCTTGATATTATCATTGTGGCTAATTGTGTGTGTGTTCCGGTGAAGAGCACCTACCTACGTGCCAAGCAATGTCATGCGATGAACATGTGTTTCCCCTAGTACATGCATCTTTCCTTATTTCCCGACCTAGCTTGAGGGCGATCTCCCCGCTTGCGAAACTTTAATGCCGCAGCCGTCCAATAGTGTGGGGACAAGATCCAGAGAGTTGTTGTGCGGTGATATCTGCCGTCCTTTGCCACGTCAGCGTTGGCCCTCAACACCCCCGTAATTGGAAGTTATGCTGACTTTCAACCCGGACGTTAGCGGAGCATCCTAGTCGTACCTTGCATGATAGATGCGCGTGATCACGAAGCTACCCGACCTATTTATCAACAGATTATAATTCTTGCAACTGGTACCAAAAGACTTTTGAAAAATAAATATCTCAGCTACGTAATCATTCTGTTTGTAGTCTTCATATACTATGTTTCTTGTACATAGTTCTTTATCATTTAGAATATAGCGTTGAATATCGGACTGGTGTTGAGATATGTACATGTGCGATACAGACATAGATAACAAAAAATGTATACAATCATGGAAAACCTACTCATTGCAATGTCGTGTTGTACCGCCGCATTTGAGATAAATTCTTCTGGCTTACTGTATGGGGCGCAGAAGTAATACATGCTACGGAATGATTTCAAGTATGAAATAGTTTGCAATTATTAATACACTCAGCGTCCTCGTACACCCCTGCATCTATAACTAAGGCCTGGGTTAAGCAGGTTTGGCCTTCTCACTGCTATGATCCTATCGTTGTGATGGTGATGAAACAACTCCGAATGGTAAGTGATAGGCAGCGTACACAGGATTTCGCGGTATCAGTGACTGCTCACTCGTCCCAGGATTGTTTCTTCTCTCCAGATCCACCTTTCCCTTCTCAAGCATTGATATTCCTTCCCGGTACTCCGATTCCTCCCAGCCAATATCTCCCGGGAACATCATTCGTCGGCGCCTGCAGCAGCAGCTGATGTTTTCGAAATACATGGCTGCTGCGGGTACCTGAAGTCCAGCAGAAAACAAGCTGGCCATGGCGATGGGAGCCCATACCATTCCAAAGTAATAAGATGGGTCCTGCGTCTTGAGAATCAGGACTACAGCTACGGTGTTTGGCAGAGTCGAGAGACCTGTGGGAAACATGTCAGTCTTGAAAGACCAGATTATGGGGCCCAAATATTACCATGAATTAAGAAACCAAGGCCAGATATGGCCTCGACGGTTAGCTTGTGGCCAATAAGCTGAGTTGCTTGTTTTTGCTTCAGTTTCCTGGCTATCAACACCAGCCCACAGACAGATATTAAGGTGTCAGATAAGCTCGCCATTGCAATAGCAAAGTAAACGGCATGATTGCTAACAATTACACCAGTTGCTCCCACGATCAACAGCCAGATAACGAAGAAGATATGGCCCATCCATCGTCGAACAAATGAAGATGGCAGCAACACTCGAACAGCAATCAGGTATTCGATGCCAGCATGCTGCGTGAAGAATATCAATTTGCTCGAATTCAGTTCTAGGTCGGAAAGAAAGTGGATGGTGAGCAGTAGGAATGTTAATGTGAACATAAGAGACAGGTAATGGAGGTCCATCATGCGTTTCATCGAAAATCCAACGAGCCCAGCATAAATGCCCCAGAAGACCAACTGGAGGAAAAATCCCTGGAAGGATATGACAAAGGCAGCATTGTAGAGTGCAAGCGGACCTCCCTTGAGTAGGTGTTTGTTCTGAGTCTGCAGTACTGCAGGAAAAAGTCGAAGATATTCCGGTCCTGTCCTATCGATATCTCCATGGCGATGCGTGTCAGTATCTCTTTTATTACTCTGCTTTTTCACAAAACGTTGGGGGTTTTCACGTTATCATCCACGTACGATTAAAAGTCGACACTGCGTTGCCCATCTTGAAGCTGGCCAGCAGATTATTTGGGAAAGTAAAGAGTCGAATGTCGTCTGGAAAAGGTTAAAATTAGGTGAACGAGAGCAAGATGGCTACCAATACTTTTTGTGTCCTGTGCCTATGACATGGTAATAATAGACACAGTGGAAACGAACACGCGTTCTGCCGTTCAATCTGCTCCCTAAGGTTTTGGCCGAGCGCCAGATCGGGTCAGGGGCAAATGGTTCTCACATCATCAATTTTCACGAACCAGGTTGTGCTATTCGTAACGATGATCATGTAGTAAGCAGGCAGGTTAGTCGAGTTTCGGGCGTGGGTCTGAGGTAATCGGGCATGGTACGTACGCATCAGAATGTACTACGTAGCGCATGCAGCGTTGTCTTCCTGGGTTTCGGTAGATGGACCTGTCTTGGACAAGGGCTTGCATTGTCCGCGCAGTGAGTTTTATGTAGATCAGCCAAGAACAAATCACTTGATAATGAAGCTTCTTTCTCGATAGAAGGAAATAAACTTTTAGCTACAATACGCACGGGCTATGTTGGTAGTAACTACTGATTGGCTTTCACAACCCCGCATATCTGGATGCTCCCGCTTACTGATCGATAGATTTTAAGCTATGATACAGCATTTCGCCTTGACGCGGTAACACCCCTGGTAGGGGGTTCGGTTCGACGAAACCGTGATGGCTCTACCACTCTGTAACGTCCCTGCGTGTGAATGACGGTCTGCGAGACCTGACTGAAGAAAGTTTAGTTTCAATTGACTGATGAAATATCTGTAACTCATTCCTCATTTGTTCTACTAGATTTAACATCACGCAGTATGTTTGAGGCACTAACTCAGCGAGAGCCTGATTACAATTTCGGTGGTGACGAATGTTTGAGGCATAAGCGCGTTATCTAACTCTGAATGACAACCAAGGATATATCGTTCAGCGCTTTAGCTGCTTGTGGTGTGCGATTTACTGACTTCAATGTTAGTTCGCAAAACGATCCGCAGAAGGAATAAACGTATCCGGGGGCCCCGGCCGATAACATCCCAGGACTGCATTTTCCAGGCTGTGCAAATGATCGCAGAGCTCAGACGATTTTGAGATCAAAACTTCTCGTCTGGTTCTATGGTATCTCTTTTGTATACCCACCTTGGCCAAACTACCAGATATCCATATGCTTCCTGCTTTCTCATGAGAAAAGCTGGTACAACGGTGACATGGATTTTCTATAGTAGCAGCCAGTTCAGAAAAGAAATGGATACATATCAGTATATGTTGTAGAGGCTGACATAAGCTGACTCTTCAAGAGAGGGACATGGACAAGTTTCATCCTGGTTTGTTACGACGGCGGCCACGACATCATCTACGTACTGCATTGAAATAGGCTAACCAGACCGCAAACCTGATGTACTGATCAGATACTAGATAACTGATGTCAGGAGAGCGTACACGACTATCTAAGCTATGTCAATATTGAGGGAAGAAGGCCATAGTGCAGGATGTCCCGTATCCTCACCAACCTCTGTCCATGTCCAATATCTATTTACAGAGCATTAGAGAATCTTCTGGCAATGAAAACATAGGGAACATGCAAGGTTATCCCATCCAACAATTTAGAAGCGTCCAGTGGCAGTGCAGGGCTACTGATGACCTCACGCGCTGGCACACTGATTGTTGCACATGCATGTCTGAAACTTGTAAAGGAGCTGAAATCCAGTCGTCTACCAATTGAATAATCAGTCTATCGATCTGATGCCAGATCGACCAGACACCCCTGTTGGCTTGTTACAATGACGAGTGACCAAGACCACCCATGCGCCCGTGTGATATACGTAGCAGTATCACGCGGCTGCCAAACAACCAACCTCTCCTGCTATCTATCACAACACAATGCCATTCATCGAATTGATGTCGAGATCAAAATTCGGTGCTACCAAGCACGGTATGAAGCACGAACAGAGCCATGCAGTTCGTTCTTATAAGTCCTCCTCTTATCAATCGTCAGACGACTACAGCGTTGCAGAAACACCCTCTCCGGACTCGGCAAGTCTCCACTTGCCTGACAACCTCATAGTTGAAGCAGGTCATGGCCTACTTCTTATCTCTCAGCTGCCGACATTTGACACTGCTGGGCTCGTGTCGAATACAGGGACAACCGATCTCGCTGTGCTGATCCATCGCCACTATCGTGCATTCCAACCTCCGGTGTCGCTGCCAAACTCTGACTGGACATGGAAGAAAGCCACAAAGCAAGTGGTTTTGTTGCAAAAAGCGTTTCCTGCAGTCAAAGACGCGGAAAACAGTGTATTAGCCATGGCGGCTTGGTTTCACTTCCTCTGCGACATCGATGACGAGGTCGAACAGATGGAGAGTATGGAGAGAGGACTGCTGCTTGGACGGATCACCAAGGCGCTGCAGACTGCAAGCGTAGACCCACTCAAGCTTCCGAAAAGCGGGCATGCAAAACTACTCGCACTCGTCGGCAGCTTCATTCGGCAATGCCAAGTGGTCTTATCCCCTCAGGTTCTTTCCCACGTCTTTGCCGACATCATCGACTGTCTAGAGGGACTAAAGGAGGAGGCTGCTTACCAGGAGGGCACAGCGGTGCTGTCAAGCATAGAAGACTATCTACGGGTACGGTTGGGAACAATAGGCCTACGACCTTTCTTTACCATCCTGAGACACACATTGGTTGCCATGGAAGCCCAAAAGACCATCAGTACAAGCAGCAACAACGACACCTCAAGCTTCTGGACATCGCCTCTGCACCAAAAACTGCTCAACAGCACACAACGTACTATCGGGCTACAAAACGATATCGTGGGTCTTTCCAAGGACATTGAAAAAGGTGTACGTATGAATCTGGCCGTGGTGCTACTCGAACAACAACACAAGACTACAAGCGATCTCGAAGCTGTCAGCAAGGCACGCAGTATGGCCGTGTCGATCCACAACACCGAGATGCAAAAGGTGATGAGGGTTTGGGCCGACATCAAAGAAGCAAGGTACTCTACTGCGGCGCAGGTATATGCTCAATCACTGGTAGCGTTTACACGGACGCATTTTAGCTGGGCGGCACACGCGCATCGGTACCAGTCGAAGCATATGAGTCTTTTGGAGATGTTGTCGAGTGTGGCGCAGAGTACGGCGGTGGAGGGACTGAGGTTCAAAGCAAGGGTGCTACGAACGCGACAGTCGATGGGGCGGCTTCCAATCAGTCATGGCATGAGGTGATTTAGCATCCTTTTTTTTGTCAATTCAGCGCTTGCATAATGGAGTTCTAGATAGCTTTTTTTGAGATTGGGTAGAGCATAGTAGGCATGAGCAGACTGGTCCTGACTTGTAGAAAATACAATTGATCACAAACTCCTACTTTCCGTATGTGTCCGTGGAGATCGCTAGACTTTCTCTTTGTTTCTGGAAAGTTGATGATCGCAAAATGGGCATTTTCTCCAAATCAATAGGTGGGTGGTTAAAAGTTTCCTGTCACGAGTGCTCGTCACGTGGCTTCCCATAGTAAGCGCGGCTCGTATTTAATGTGGAATTGAGTGTACGCCTTGGTTGGAGAGTAGTTGGTCACCAGAGTGCAAAATAAGGCTGTTTCCGTCGGGTATGGTGAGGTGCGCTCAGACATGGCGAAAGACCCATGGTTGGTGCAAAGTATTTGGAATTGCGATGAAAGAGCAGAGAACACATCTACCTACGAAACCAGCTAACTAGTATGACGTGTAGTGAAGTGTACTGAGGTCAGCCTGGACAGACTGATGCCCAATATAGCAAGCGAGCAGCGGCAAGATGTGCGGGGTGCAGCAGCGGCAAGAAAATGCAGTGTGACAAGGTGATTGGCATGCTGTGGGCGGAGCACACAGCCTCAGTCTCGGCCAGTAAGTATTCCCGAACTCAATGGCTTGACCTATAAGTGCGATAGTATTGAGAAGGTTGCGTGGCAGTAAAACACTACCTCACAGGTGACGCAACTCAGCCTCGGTCATTGCCGGGTGTACCATGCATGCGGCTAGCTGGTTAATCTACAATTGATTAAATGGAAAAACAAGGCTGACGAAATAAGCTTTGGGGCTGCTTGGCAAGATGAGACAAGCCTTCATGTTTCACGAGATCCTCCAAAGAAAAAAGGTAATTGTTGCGAATGATAGTAGAGTTTCAAAATTCAGCCGCTAGGTCGAAAGTCCAAAAATCTGGGAAAGACCAATTACTGCCATCAATCTGCATGTCTTGCAACATGTCAAATGGCGAATACATGTCGCCCAGAGAGCTTCCAGAGTTGGGATCGGTAGCATCTGCCCCGCTCGCATGAGTGAAAGCCGAGCCTCCGAACGCTCTTTCATTCATCCCAGATACACTGTCGGTTTCAAAGCCACTTTGATGCATACTATGCGCGGCATCCTTGGCTCGCGAAGCTCTTGACATTGTGGTGCGGAAAGAAGCAGCCAAGTCATTGTTCCGGTCTTGCTGCAAAGCTATCACCTTGGACGCTAAAGCGGTAAAATAGCCAATGGCTTTCCGGCATCGAGAAACAACTTCATCTCCTGGATTGTCGATATGAGTCGTGGATAGAGATGGCGAAGGCGGGGGTGGCAATATACCCACTGCAGCCGACAGAATCCAGTACTCCATGTATCCAGTACCTAGCCTAAGTACTTTCTGCTCAAAAATTTGCCTTGTGCGTTCAAGGATCTCGAGGGATGATGTACATAGTGTCTTGACCAGGAAGGCGTTTTGCGGTAGTGAGGCAAGGTACACTGTGTCACCAAGCAGAGCCCCGCGTTTGGTCATCGTAATATCCGGTAAAGAGGCTGTAGGGTTGACAGATTGAGTGTTAGGGGTGCCGGTTGGTGCTACTGATGACTTCACCGGGTTGATTGCGCAATTTCGGAATGTTAATTGAGACAGTGTCAAACCAACTCTCATGACGTCGTTGCGGATGTTACTAAGAAAAGAGATACTCTTCGATAACAGGTCGCCGTGTATCGTAATCATGGAATTACAAACATCCACACATGTCCTGAAGGAGTACATGAAGCGGTTGTTTTTCGAGGCCGATTGGGCAAACGGCCTGTGCAATATCAGAAGATATTGAAGTAACTGCAAGCGGAGAAGTGCAGATGGCACTACGGCAGATTCATTATTCCAGTTGGGCAAGGCGGAGACAGCTGTGTGTATCTGAGCGTCAAAGTGCAAAACATCGGCATACTGTATATTGCTGGAGGGCGTGTTCAGCAGATGCGTAAGATGAATGCGAAGTGGCAACGATTTCAGGCTTGCGGTAATGAATGAGGTGGAGGTAAATTCTTCATCCGATTGATCTGGTGGCAGTTGCTTTGTGTTCGCAGAGAAAACCTCATCTGCAAGATGAGCTGGCGCAGGCGTGTCGAAGTATAGGGCCGTTAGCCCAGATTGGAGGCCAGTCTCGACCGAAGATTGCAGTTCTAATTCCACAACTGTGATCCACAGCCGTTTCCTCATTTGTTGATTGAAGATTGAAATTCTACCGCTTCCTTGTAAGGCTGGGTCGCGGTGCAGACCAGATGCGAGAGCAAGCCGAAGAAGATCACCAGAGTTGATCCAGTCCTGCTTCATCCCCACACAATTGACCCGCTTGGCAACCAGCAGAAGACATGCTGATTGGAGGAAAGGTAGGGTTGTCTGCTTCCGAGGCTGCAGCTTAATCCAGATTTCGCAGGTGTGAATGAGAACGTCAGCGGTCTGCCGATCAATAGTCGTATCACCAACGAAGACATTGTCTTTCTGGTCGAGGCACTTTGTGATGGAGATGATCAATACGAGAACGACGGCAAAGCTGACGCGTTCTTTGTGGGTGCAGGTATTCTCCCAGAAAGCCTGGTATTCTTCCCAAAAGGATGGCCCATGCAGAATTCTGTAGCTGGTTTCACACGTCCGAAAGTACTTAGCAGCCTGCGTGTCGACGACACTCTTCTCAGGAAGTGCAGCCAACACGTTAGCATCAGCATCATAGAGTGCGACATTAGACTCTCTGGCAGACTTCTTCCTTCGATCACGGGACGCTCTGAAGTCATTTCCGACATGTACGAGAGAATGATCGAGGTTGAGAGCTTCGCGTGTGAAGAGATGCAGCTCATGATACTTGCAAGAAAGTCAGCTCACACGAGGCATCCACAAACGGACTTGTTGTGAGAGATACCGTTGATGCGATGCTCATAACACTTGTCACGCCATGAAACTGAGCCTTGAACCCTTTCCCTTTGAACAAAATGTCCTCTGTGAATATTGGCTCTTCGGGTAGGACATCATGGTACCGTGACTTGTGTTTAGTGTGCCGCTGGGCCAGCTGCTGCTCTAGCAATGCAATGCGTTCTTCTTGAGCTCTGACTTTCCGCTGCAAGACGTGGCATGTGTCGGAAGAGAGGTCAATGTCTGCAGGTCGCTCGGCCAGGAGGGTGGAAGTGGCATCGTCAGCTCGTGTGGCTACATTGACATTGGACTCTTCCAGGAGGCGCGGATCATATGTGCATTCATGCCGTCTTCCCGTCTTTTGGCAGCGCCCGCATACGGGAAGGACGCGGTCGCACTTCATTTTGCGGGCGCGACAGGCGTAGCATGACAGAACCTTGCGCTTCTTGCTCGTGCGCTGGTGAGACGGGCCGTCGTTGCCTTCTGGAAGGTCGCGCTCCGGCGGCGTATCTTCACGCGATCTGTCGCTGATCCATTCGGCGGCTGGAGCAGACATGGAAACTCGGGACGGCAGCAGCACCAATCAGTGTCGCGATGTCGAGAACAGCGTGTCAGGGTGAGCGGTCGCGGAAATGGAGGGGATGACATGCACGCGGCCCGGCGTGGATTCGCGGCGCACACTCGGACATAACCACCAACTTAGGACGGGGATAAGCTACTATGGCTGCTGGGTTTGCCTGCATTCTTGGCCCCTTTGACTTTGTCAACAACAAAATGACAGGACGCCGTCTCTTGCACTGTCTCAGCATCGGCCAACATCAACAAGTTGTCTTGGTTGTGTCCCGGGCGAAAACCGTGTCGGCCGAGTCGATGCATGGAACATTGTTTCGCTCCATGTCGAAGCGGGGAACCCTTACACTACCCCACAAACAATGCGTGCTGATCCCAGGCACAATCTTACACTCGGCTTCTCATTCCTTGCTATGCAGGTCATGTTTATTGCAGGCAAAACTTGTTGCCCATTGGTGTCCCGTCAAGACATGTCAATGGTCAGCCAAATCAGTGGTTCATTCCGAGAAGAGCCTGTCACAACCCGGATTGGGGCCGGAAAGTGGATGGCGAAACATGCTCCATAAAAACAATCTACATGCACACGAGCCTGAGCAAATAACAGGCAGATAAACTCTCCGTGTTTCGTGCCAAGGGCGCGGCAGTGAGCTTCGCATGCTTAACCGAACTTGCCGTTCATGCCTACGGTTTCGAGACGGCCAATCGAAGCACATGCTTGATTTCTGCGACAAAGCTAATTTTTCATCTGCCACGTCTCTTATAGTATGTCTAAATTGCGCATGACTTCAGAACTGACTGACAGACTGAGTGGCTGAAAAGTCACTGGAAAGTATTCACTCTCGTCACCAACAAGTCCACCCTTCGCTGTAATTTTGTCATGAGGGACATGTTCTTGCTTGTTGAAACACTTGCCATGTATCTTGTAGACAACTGTTGCCAGCTATTGGCAGCCACTACTATCACTTCGTACGGGCACCAAGCTGCTGCGCAGTGCGTAAGCACAACACAATTTAGGCATTTTAGCCTACACGTGAACTGCAGAACTTAGTACCATGGCTCGGGGTGCAATATACACAATGTTTAGCTTGTATCAAGGATACGACGGACAAACTCTCCCATCTATCAGTCGGTGATGAAACGGGATTCCGGACCGCAACAGCCTCGTTGCTGGACATATATAAGTCATCTCCTTCAGTCTCTCTCGAATATCACAGTCAACACAGACATCAGCATCTTCAACATGTACAGGACTCTGGCAGTTACCATTTCTCTTCTCCATGCAGCTCGCGGCCAGCAGGTGGGAACGCAGCAGGCAGAAGTGCACCCCAAGTTGACGTGGCAATCTTGCACTGCCCCAGGAAGTTGTACCACCAATAACGGCGAAGTTGTCGTTGATTCCAACTGGCGTTGGCTTCATAACAAAGATGGGTATGTATGAGAGACGATACTTTAACCCACTTCTTCTGACTGAACTCGAGTTACACCAACTGTTATACGGGCAACACTTGGGACACGACATATTGCCCTGACAACAAGGCGTGCGCTGCCAACTGCGCCCTCGACGGTGCGGACTATTCAGGCACATATGGCATCACTACCAGCGGCAATGCCTTGAAGCTCAACTTCGTCACCAAGGGCTCGTATTCTACAAACATCGGATCGCGTAACTACCTCATGAAGGATGAAACGACCTACGAGATGTTCAAATTCACGGGTAACCAAGAGTTCACGTTCGATGTAGATGTCTCCAACCTACCCTGCGGTTTCAATGGCGCACTTTACTTTGTCTCGATGGATGCAGATGGCGGTCTCAGCAAGTACCCAGGCAACAAAGCCGGTGCCAAGTACGGGACTGGTTATTGCGACGCCCAGGCTCCAAGGGATCTCAAGTTCATTAATGGCGAGGTGAGTGACAACATGTGGGCTCATGGAGTGTTACTAGCATGCTGACCATCACTTCAGGCCAATGTTGAAGGCTGGAAACCGTCGGCAACCGATCAGAACGCTGGTGTTGGCGGCTATGGTTCCAGCTGTGCAGAGATGGACATTTGGGAGGCCAACTCGGTCAGCACGGCAGTCACCCCACACTCTTGCAGCACAATCGAACAAACCCGCTGCGATGGTGATTCATGTGGAGGTACATACTCAGCCACACGCTATGCTGGCGTGTGCGACGCGGATGGTTGCGACTTCAACAGCTACCGCATGGGTGTCAAGGACTTTTACGGAAAAGGCAAGACAGTCGACACATCTCAAAAGTTCACCGTCGTCACACAGTTCGTTGGAACCGGTGACGACATGGAGATCAGGCGCTTCTACGTCCAAGGCGGCAAGGTTATTCCTCAACCCTCATCCAAGATTGCAGGAATCGACGGCAACGCCATCAACTCCAAGTTCTGCGACCAGCAGAAGTCTGTCTTTGGTGACCCAACTGACTTCCAGAAGAAGGGCGGCATGGGAGGCATGGCCAAGGCTCTTGCCAATGGTATGGTTCTTGTCATGAGCTTGTGGGATGACCACTACAGCAACATGCTGTGGCTCGATTCTACATACCCCACCGACAAGAACCCAGACACGGATCTCGGTGTTGGTCGAGGAGAATGCGCGACGACCAGCGGTGTACCAAAGGATCTTGAGACCAATAACGCAGATGCTACAGTCACTTACAGCAACATCAAATTCGGTCCTTTGAACTCGACCTTCAGTGCGCAATAGAAGAGCCGCGGTATGGCTCTAAAAGAGAGAAAGTGGTATGGGACAAGGGGTTTTTTGCACTTGTGGTGGAATTTTCCATTCGTTGATCAGTTGCGACAGTCACTCGTTCAGCATACATTAGTATGCAAGAAATCCGTCCTTGATCAGTTCATTTAGAACAGCAGTTTTTCACCTTTTTTTCATACTGGTGTTTATACATAGAATTCACAACCCTTACTCAATGTCCGCTTTTTTGAGCAAGCAGAAGTGACAATGAATAAATCATGCTGACGAATTACCCCAAGATAGGGTGAAAGGCTAAACAACCCTTGTGTTCACTTCTGTGTTCACGTCGACGGTGATTCACCAACAGAGACGATCTGGAAGCTATGCTGAATTCACGTTCATCGCACATGAGTCCCACTTGCCACCATTACCATGAATCAAAACTGATCCCATATACCCTCTCGTTCTCTTGCGCAACCCAAAGCCCTTCAACTCTAATCACCATCCAAAAACCACCAGCTCACAACTTACAATCACAATATTCTCAACACACACCCAGCCATGGACTACTCAATTAGCTTGCGAAACATGGTGACAGGCTCAACAGTGTTTGGCTACAATACCCTTCCCGAGTGTGCAAGCAGCTGCAAGATACTTCAGGCATCAGAGGCAAATTGTGTTCCGCCGGCTGCCCCAGTATCCAACCACTTCACCTACCAAGATTGTGTCTGTCAATCAACATACCTGGCAAGCCTCCACAAAAGTGGTGCTATATGCCATGAAGCATGTGATGACGAGGATAACGAACTCATTCACCAATCCTACAATCGAATGTGTGGCCAATCCGACATACCGGAGACGACCAATTCCTATAGCACGCCGACAACCAACTTGTCAACACTTACCACTATATACACAACTTTAGTAACGATACAGACACCAACAATGTCTGCTCCACCACCGCAACAAACACATATAGAGGCTATCAAAGACCAAGAACAATGGTACATAGGCGAAATGGTCACACCGTATAAGCGCACTCCTGACGAACCTGTAGGCTACAACGAAACGGAAAATACTTTGCCATAATTGGGGGTGGCGTGGTGATTCTTGTTGCAATCATCCTCATACTCGTTCACCTATACAAACGCCACCATCGCAAATCCGCTCTAGAGAACGCGCGACAGTGCCACCGGTTCATCCCTCTCCAGGACATTCACCCTCTCCCAAGCCAGCCCGTTGATCCAGATACCCACAGGCAACTTCATCTACAACCACATTCGAGTTCCGAAAGCAATCTGGGATACCCACTCAGATCCCCAGGCATAGCCCGTCCCCAGCCAAGCTTCCCATTCAGCGCCACCGTTCGCGCATACGCGAGCGAGTCGCGGAGCGAGACCGACTTGCGTGAGATGCAGCGCCCGGCAGCGAGATGCGGTACGCTCTGTCGCTCGCTCAGTCGCACCGAGAGATTGATAATGGAGCGCATCCGGACGACTGGGCGACCGGATATTCCTATCAGCGCGACCCCGAAGATCGTGCGGTGAAGCGGATTTGTGGGGCTGTTTTTCAATCAACTAGGCGGAGTAGCGGGAGATGGGTACTCGCGACGGGGAGCAGGGATGTTAATGAAATATGAACGGGAATGAAGTGGGGTTCTTGATAGTGGTAGTAGTAGTAGTAGTAGTAGTAGTAGCAGTAGTAGTAGTAGTAGTAGTAGTTCTTTTTGGCATCGCACGGACTATGTTTGTGATCCACTCTAGACCCATACATGTGCCGCATGTTCGCAGCGGGGCTAGGCATGTGTTTAGTCAGGGCTTCCGATGTACACGGGAAGCTAGCCTGATTATCTTAGTGAACTATTTCATCATCGAATCTTCAGTCGCCCGTTCTCTTTGCTCTTTCACAGATTTCGTAGTAAGTGGTATGCACTGCGCGAACACAAAGTACATGAAGCAGTTGAAATATCTTCATCATCCCACAATGACGCACTCAGTACAGAATTTTGAGTCGCACACATTTCTGCTCCCCGGATTTTTCTTTGCTTCTCTTTTATTCTTGTAATGCTTGCACGGCACTATACACATGCGTCTGCAACTCTCACTGTGAAGTAATGTTCTCCACATTGTGCGCCTCAAGTCTACCAAACAATGAACGAAAAGAAACGAGCTGCGACGAACTCATTGTCTTGGATTCGATCCAAGGCGGTGTCAGATATGAACCTTATATTGTGCCAAGGATTTGCCAGTACGATGGCTGAGCTCAAACTTGCTTCCACTCCCGTCATCTCTGGGTCTTGATTGTTGCTAAACAAAATCGTGGTGTTGTCGCATCATCTCAGTTCAACAGAGTCGGGCAAATACTAGAGATCGAGCGGGACCAACAAACATCTTAGTCGCAAGTCCGTTGCCCAGCCTGCTACTACGTACTTGGCTCAGTTCTTGTGACCATAGAATGTGGAATAAAACACCCACCTTGTCCCCGACCGAAAGAACCAAGTACCAACTAAAAGGAAGCGACGATGCAACTGTCAGGGCAAACAAACCATGCACCGGACAACACTAGGAAGCTTTGCAAAACAGGTGTATGCGGGACTGCGGATGTCTTTTTCCAACGACCAAACTGTTGAGGTGGTACAACTACTTTTCGCAAGTAAGCATGCTTACTGCGTACCCATCCCGTCCGCATCTACATTACACCTGACCCAATCGCGGAAGCTTGAGCGTCATTGGCCCGTTGTTGCGGTTGAGTCTGAGGTGAACTACTGTGTAAGTACATGGGATGTATGTACACTAGGGAACAGCTATGGATATAGACTAGCGTGGTCGGACCAAGACACTGTTCTCCATATACGCGTGTCGAGCTACGTTGTGATCCTTGTCGGAGTATAAGTACCTTGCCACCAGGCGGAGTTTCAAAATCTTGGGACTTCAAAGTCGCCTGTACTTTTTACAGTTTGCTGTATCATCTAGCAGCCTCTTTTTGGTCTTGTATAGTTTGTAAGTACTATTGCAGAGTGTAGCAAACACGATGCGCGTCGAAGGTCATCATCGTTACTGCGTGATAAAGGTCTAAAGTTGCGGGCCTATCCGCGCGTCAACGATCTTGATAGGGCGGAACTCCGGGTGTTTTGTCTCCCACGTTCTCTCCCTTTGTCATTGTGGCTCTCGGGCCCATCTCCGCCCAACCCCAGACCTTGTTCTTAGAGCGTAATAGGAGCGTAATAGGCCCGTTTTGCAGCGTTTTCTGGTTCCAGAAATGAGCATTGCTGATGTCGAGCAATTTGCAACCGAAACTAAATTGGCTGTTCTTCTTGGCCATCTAACAACTGCCTCCTCCTCTCTCTTTGTACATGACTTCACGCACGCGCGCCTTTGACAGTTTTACTTCTGCTGATAGAACAGGCGTTCGGGTCTAGTACGAATCGGCCACCGAGACAGAGGAGAGCTCTTCATGTACTAACGGGCTAGGCCATCGGGTAGAACCTTAGCGTTCCCGCTTCGGTCCTTGTTGACCCACAATGCTTCCGGCATAGATACGCGCCGACTTGGCGGGGTATGCAAGTCCGTTGGCATCTTCACTAGAAGAGTTGCTTGGGCAGTCTTCAACGCTTCAATACGAGGATCTACACGACGTTGTGGGCCTCAATGCGACTTCTCGATCATAACTACCGTGCTACTCACTGCTAGCGGCGAGCTCCAAGCAGAACCCCATAATGTTTCGGATATATAGAAATCTAGGTTTATGGTTTCTCGCCTCTTCTGGGACTGGTGCATATTCCGATGAATGCACGTACTCACAAAGAAGCACGGAGCAGGTGGCGGCCGTACTATCAACGTGTCTGCGTTCACAGCACCGCACGGGCTTCGGTGGTTTTCCCAACCGCCTGTTTACGAGACAGGTCCACATCTGAAAATACAACATGGTCAGTTGTATGCTTGTTGCAGGGATGTAGAAGAGCCTCAATACAAGGACTGGCTACGGATTAGACCGCGGATTACCGAGTACGGTAAGCTAGCTACTCGTACAACAAGCTCCACCGCAGTTCCATATCTCCTTCAAGCGAAGTTCTGAAGGGAAATACTGGCGACGATGCTTCCAGCGAGCGTGTCATGTCAGTGCATTCACAGTAGTGCCGGCCACCCCACACGAAATACGCGCCAAGTCCTTGGCCGTGACAGTCTTTGTACGCTGTATGGCCGGACAGCAGCCACCCCCATTGTGTCAGCATCAGATAGGGAACCAGACTTTCCTCCTCGGGTAGATGGCGGAAGCGGCCGGACTGCAGGGTCACTACAGATGCCCGATGCACGTTGTACAAGGTCAATCAAAAGCACTCTATCACTGTAAAATTTCACAGTTGGGAACTGTTTGGATCGCCTTCCAGATCCTGTTGTTGAGTAAACACCCATAAACCAGGTCATCCAGACAATGGCTTAGCTAGTATCAATCTCCGACCCTTGCCATAAAACCCCACTTCAGCTACTTTACCTATACCATGATACCCCATATGGCCAGTATAAAAAAAACGGTGCTCTTTTTCACCGCCTTAAACAAATTCTCAAAACTAGGGCTTTTTTCCCCGGACTGGGGATTTCCGGAACTCCTTTATTTGCCACTCCCCCCCAACTTGTTTTTCGATAGGATCGCGTTGAGCAAAAAAAAAGGCCAGACAACATGGCCGACGAAAAGCAAGCCGTTGCTACGGAGCAAGGGGCGTCGACGCCCAAGGCGCTTGAAGAGCTCAAGACCACGGCCGTCGTTGATACCGTACATCAAGATGAGGCGCTCCGCGTGCTCATGCAGTACAATGGAGACGAGACGTGGACGCTAGAGGAAGAAAAGAAGCTCGTTCGCCGGATCGATAAAAAGTTACTGACATTGCTGATTATAACGTACGGTCTCCAGTACTACGACAAGGCCATGTTGTCGCAGGCTGTAAGTTTTTTTCGTTCCTGTCTTGTTATTTTGAGAATATCCAACTGACATTATTATTCCCCCCTTCCCCAGGCGCTATTCGGCTTGCGCGAAGACCTGCAGCTCACTACGGGTGATCGATATTCCTTCTCGGCCTCCATCTTCTACCTCGGATTCATCGTAGGAAGTTACCCTGCGGTTGTCATGGCGCAGCGATGGCCCATTGAGCGCGTTGCAACCGGCATTTTGTTCGTCTGGGGCGTTTGTCTCATGTGCACGGCCGCGTGCACGAACTGGCGGGGCTTCTACGCGCAGCGCTTCTTCCTGGGCTTTCTGGAATCGGGCGTCAGCCCAATGTTCATGTTGATTGTGGGTGGGTGGTATAAGAAGAGTGAACAGGCACTGCGAATGGGCGCGTGGTACTGTGCAACTGCGTACGCGTCTGCTGTTTCGCCGTTGGTTAATTATGGCCTTGGACATATCAAGGGCGGGAGCTTGGACAGCTGGCAGTACATGTAAGAGCATTTCTCCTCTTAAACCGTGTTAAGTTGTAGCTGAGACATATTTTAAGGTACCTTTTCGCTGGTGCCATAACCGTGCTGTGGGCATTCGTCATCCTCTTCTTCTTGCCGCCTGACCCGATTCGAGCAAAGGGCTTCAACGAACGCGAGCGATACATTGCAGTAGCTCGTATGAGGGAAAACAATTCCGGTGTACGAAACAAGCACTTCAAACTCGAGCAGCTGTGGGAATCGCTATACGACATCAAGTTCTGGCTTGCGTTCAGCATGTCATTTCTCATGATGATTGCCAACGGACCTGTTTCCAGCTTCCTACCTATAATTATTGCGGGTTTTGGGTTTAACCGACTAAACTCATTGCTGCTCGTCATGCCCGCTGGTGTCATCATCGGATCGGTTACACTGAGTGTGACCTACTTGGCCTATCGTGTCCAAGGTATTCGAACCTGGATCATTGTGGGCTGTCAATGCGGCACCATTACTGCATCTGCTATGCTTTGGAAACTGCCACAAAGCTCCAAAGGAGCACTTCTCTTCGCGTGTTATATTCTCTCAACTTTCGGCGGTAGTTACGCTGTGCTCATGGGCTTGTCCGTGGCTAATACAGCGGGATATACCAAGAGATCGATAACGAGCTCTGGAATCTTCGTAGGCTACTGTCTTGGTACGTTCTCAACTCCTTGAATTTCACATAGTATAAATCATTAACTCTCGATGTAGGTAACTTTCTAGGCCCGTTGTTGTTTAAGCCAAAAGACGCTCCAGTTTACGCCCCTGGTTTCAAGGCAGTCCTTGGATCCGCAGTCGCCACTGCAGCTCTTGCAGTCGTGTACCGCTACATTTGCATCTGGGATAATCGCCGACGCGACAAATCCGGCACCCTCGAAGGATTCGATCATGCTTACGAGGATGATCTTACAGACATGAAGAACCCTCAGTTCCGTTACACACTCTAAATCGCGACGAGCTCGGTTTTTCTCTCAGAACTTCAGAATGGATTATGGTCATACACGTCGGGAGTATACCGGAAATACACAATGTTGATCTTTTCACTATCAGAAATGTAGTCTCAGGAGAATGCACACATAGCTCGAATACCAAGGATTCTGAGATTTCAATACTGAACTACCTCTCTTTCAATCTGCTTAGCTTTTTCCAATGTGCGTTATACTGAAATCCAGTCCCTACCGCTCGCGCGAGGTTTGCAGCGATGTCAAGTTATCTTCTGTTTCCCAACGTGGTGGATGCGAACAACTGACATTGCCGGCAATTTAATCTGTAGTTGGATCATCTTGGAATGAACTCTGCCTCGAAGCCTCTTTTTTTCAATCAAGTTAATGCTGCTCGGTAGTCGTAATAGGATAGATTTGACGAGGTCTACCCATCTGTTGTAACACATTTTTGTAATGTCTCGTTCGGCTGTGTAACTGCATTCAGATGAAACTATATTTTTGACAATGTATGATTGAAGAAAGATACGCCTTGGCGAAAACAAGCTATCCATACATTGATGGTGTAGGATGTGCTGTTGGCAGCATGTTTTGGAGTGGTCTCAAAAAAATCGAATCACAGATCTAAGACGATTCAAAAATGTCTTCGACACTGCGACTTGGGTATACTCATCCAAAAGTATTAATGCTTCGGTTTTCAAGGTACAGAAGCTTCAGCACAATCACCATGAATCCAGACGACTCTCTTCGCGGTCGCCTCCGCCAACTCTTTGGTCTCCCGTCGAAACTCGAGGCGACAAAATCCGCAGTGCTGGATGACCAGCGATGCAGCGGGGACCGCGTTGGGACATGGCGATGTCTCTGCGGCCATCTGAACACAATACTGCATTTAGCCGGACGAAATACTCACCCTCTAGGCCTTCTCCAATGCCGTGGCTGTCCACTGGTCTGGCACCCGAACATCACACCTACATTCACGAGCCAAAGGCTCAACATCACCTCACAGACCATCGTGTCCAACGCTGCCAACGACACACGCATCGTGTCTCGACCTCGGAACCCCGCATCGCAACACATCTACGTCTGTCTCGGCCACGGCTGCGGACTGAGCTGGCGAACGGACATCAAGAGGGAGTGGTTGAGCGGGAACAAGAGGCACATTCTGCTTCTTGGCGGGAAGCGTGGGAAACTACATTGTGACTGCGGAATGAAGATTTTCGAGCCTGGGGAATACGAAATCTTTGAGATTGAGGAGCGGTTTGACGATAGGCTTGCTGCTTCGGCGGCTTTGGGCGCAGGCGGGGGAGAAAAGCGCCGTGGTGAAGACCAATAGCAGGGCGGTTAATATCGAGGGACTGTCTTGTCATTCTTAGGGTTGGCGTGCACGGAGGAGCTCACGAGCATGGAATTAGTGGTGGGTAAGAGTCGCGATGGAGAGTATGGTCGACGTATATTGTTATCTTCGCCAATTCAGATTTCAGATGTGATGGAGCTTGTTTTTTTTTTGAGTAACTTCAGTGCTGGGGAGCCAGACGGTACATGAATCGTTCGCTGTACTCACCAACGGAGGTATTTAGAAGAGGCAACAAAACCCGCGCCGTCCAGTTGGAGTTTAGATGCCGAGATACTAGATGCTAAGCCCGGCGAGGCCTAGATTCATCTTGGGGATCGGACAACCTGCGATAACGACGCGCCACCTGCCTCGGCGCTTTGCCCAAAACATGTCTTTTCTTCAACTTCTCTCCGCACCCCAGCACCCAGCTTAAAGCCAACAGCAGCATTTACGTATCCAGTTGCTGCTGGGTGCTGGATGCAAGGTACTTTTACCCCGCCTCCGCCTCATTAGCGACTCGGCAACCGAAACCCCCACCACCACGCGGGCAAGACACCCTTGTGTTGTTTCTGCATGCATCCAATGCATGCAACCAATCAACCCAAGAATCCAACATGAACTATGCGTGGAAATCAAGAAGAAGACTATTACGACGAGCTCGTTGTTTTCCTTGACAAAGCCTCCCTTCCCCCCCTTTTCAACATTCACAATGCTTATCACATCTTCATGTCTCTTATCAGCGCTTATCACCAGCTATCACCACCACCCTGGCTCCTCGAGTCTCGGTGCCTCCGCATCAAGAATAGTGGGAGCAACGCCAAGTTTCTTGGAATGCACGCTTAACACCATGTACTCGCTCGTTGAGGGGCGGAAGGTGCAGATAGCGTACACGGCGTCGTATCAACCGTTGCTACCTCACCGGGGACTTGAATCGGTCGGAGGAAATGCGCGGGCGGCTTCACAAGCACAAGTTAACGTCTTCCCGTTTAGGCCCTGGTGGCGAGGCGGCTGATACATAATTAAATAACTCTCTCTCTATCTCTTTTTTTCTTTCCGAAGTCCAGTCTGCAGTAGGTCTCTCCCAAGAGTCTTCCCAACTGACAGGAGAAGCGCAAATCATGTCGGAGAAAAAGGTGGATGAGATTGTTGGAAGTAGCCAAGATGTCGAGTTTGGCGTTGGAAATGTACAGGAAGCAAGGCCGAGAAAGACTTCAGCAGTTGATCCTACCGTCATTGCCGGAGAAATCTTCGATGATCGCTATGAGACTACTCAGCGAGGTCTCAAGTCACGGTATGTCCTCATCCCGTCTCTCGAACCCGCCAGTGAGAAGACGCTAATTGCTGCAGACATGCTCAAATGATTGCGCTTGGCGGAACAATTGGGACAGGTCTCTTCGTCGGCAGCGGTGTCACTCTTTCTCGCGGCGGTCCAGCCTTCATCCTCGCATGTTTTTGCTTCATGTCCTTTTTGATTTTCTGTACCGTCGCCGGAATCATTGAAGTCGCTGCCTACCTGCCTACTCCCGGATCCTCGATGAACCTCTTCGGCGCGCGCTATGTATCTCGCTCGCTGGGCTTTGGCCTCGGATGGCTCTACTTCTACTCTCTCGGTATTTTGGTGCCATACGAGATTACAGCTGCTGCACTCGTCATCGAGTACTGGAGTCCACCCGTGAACATCGCAGTGTGGGTCACAATCATGATTGTTGTGATTGTGGGCTTGAACTGCTTCCCAGTAAAGTTTTATGGCGAAACTGAGTTCTGGTTTGCTGGCACGAGTAAGTTGACTTCCCGTTGATCTCCAGCTGAAGATGAAAAAAAATAAACTGACTTGCGCACCCCCAACAAACAGAGGTCATAATGATTCTAGGCCTCCTATTGCTTTCCTTCATCCTCTTCTGGGGCGGTGGGCCACACCACGACCGCCTCGGCTTCCGATACTGGAAAGATCCCGGTGCAGCGAATACCTACCTTGAACCAGGCAATACAGGTCGCTTCGTCGCTTTGTTGTCTACCTTGGTTCTCTCAGCTGTAGGCCGTTCCTCTCTATTCCACAACCAGTGTCTAAGTTAACTAACTCCAATAAAAGTTCCCTTTCTCTTTCGCCCCTGAACTTCTCGTCGCTACCGGCGGCGAGATGCAATCCCCCCGCCGCAATCTCCCTATCGCCGCTCGCCGCTACATCTACCGTCTTGTCATCTTCTACATCTTCGGTGTCCTCGCCATTGGCGTCATCTGCCCGTCTAATGACAAAAGTATCACCTCTGGTGGCGCCGGCGCCGGCTCCTCACCTTTTGTGGCTGGTATCAAAAGAGCAGGCATACCCGTCCTAGACAGCATCATCAATGCCGGTATTATCATCAGCGCCTGGTCATCTGGAAACTCGTTCTTGTTCCTGTCCAGCCGCAGCCTGTACGGTCTCGCACTATCGGGAAATGCGCCATCCATCTTCAAGTCGTGCACAAAGTCCGGCGTGCCGTACTATGCTGTAGCTGCCTCGTCGCTTTTCTGCGCCTTGGCCTATCTTAATGTCGGCTCCTCGTCCGCAGTAGTCTTCACATGGTTCGTCAACTTGACAAATACCTCTGGTTTCATCTCGTGGATCTGCTGTGGTATCATCTTCTTGCGCTTCCGCAAGGCATGCGACGCGCAAGGCATCACGGATTTGCCGTATCGCTCTCCCGTCGGCAAGTGGGGCGCATGGACTGTCATTGTCGCATTCACGTTCCTGTGCCTCATCAACGGCTTCGACGTCTTTTGGCCCGAGAAATGGAACGTCAGCTCCTTCTTCACCGCGTACGTGGGCATCCCCATGTTCTTCCTCTTCTACGGCGGCCACCGTATCTGGGCGAGGAAAGATGGCTGGGCGTATGATCCACTTACGGTGGATTTGCATACCGGTTTGGAACAAGTGCTTGCTGAGGAGAGGCCGGCGAGGACGATCAAGGGCCCGTGGTGGAAGAAGATTACGCTGATTTGGCAGTAAAAGAGAGTCGTGTATACGGCAAGGGAAACAATACTGCATGTAGAGATACGCAGAAAAGAAAGAAAAGAAAAATAAACTTTTGGTGTATTCGTACACGGCATCCTGGCCATAGCCCGGGCGTTGTTCCAAATCCCCGAATGCCTCCAAAACTCCCATATGTACATATATGCAATCAGACGTCTCCACAAACACCAATGCTAAAAAAAAAATGTTCCCATCATGCCCGCGTTCACCACGTCAATTCTTTCTCCGGCCGCTGCATCATTTGCTGTGGCACACAGCCCCACGAGCAAACGCTAACCTTGAATGGATGAAAGTATCCATTGCCATTGCTCCAAAACTCGATCCACTCCGCACGCGCCACAACATACTGCTTGTGACACGCATGGCACTCGCGAAAGACGCTGTAACCCCCCTCGGCCGTCCTATCCGCCTGGGTGAGTATCTTCTCCGCTGCACGCGGAATCTCGTATTCGCCATTGTTACTAATCATCTTGCGGAGGTCGGACGTAGTATCTGTCTGCAGCGAGCGCGTCAAGGTGGCTGTAAGGAGAGACGGGACTTTTGAGTGTTCGGGCGGAGCGAACCAAGCGGACGAGGGTACGCCGTAGGTTCCCCGTAAGGTTTCTACAATGACGGGGTATTTTTCGTAGTCTGAGGCGGGGAGAGAGGGTGAGCCGCGGAGGAGAGAACCGGTTTGGTCGTAGTAGGATACTAGGGTGCGGGCGATGTAGCGGGGGAGATAGACTAGGAGGACGTCTGAGTCTATGTCACGGACATGGAGGGAAGGGTGGTGTGGGTAGAAGCCCATGTCTTGTTTGCTGTCGGGCCCGCTGCTGAAGCAGGTGGCCCAGGATTCGAAGTAGCGGATGCGCCAGACTGTTGAGTCGCGGTCTATGCATGTTGGGAGCGACTCGTAAAGGTGAACCAGTTGGCTGCGTGCGTGTTGGCGCAGACTGTCGAGGTCATAGGAGCCCTTGTCGAGATGTTGGGTATAGACTTCCTCCCCAGGTGCACGAGTGTGAAAGCGTTTGGACGTCATGGGTTCTAGCAGATCGCTTCCCATGGTAGTGAGACGGCCTAGGTTGCCATACGGCCATAGGAGGTTGACGACATCGAAAGGCAGATACTTGAGCTTGTTTTGCGAAACGTACAGCTCCTCCAAGCTTTCCAGTCGACGAATATCTTGTGGTAGCTCTTCGATCTCGTTCTCACGCAGAGCGAGGCTGTTGAGGCATGTGACGCTGAAGAGCGAGGGAACAAGGCGTCGAAGTCGGTTCTTGTTAAGGTTGAGGTGGATCTCGGGCTCAAATGACCGAAACTGGCCTTCAGCTGGAGCCTCGCTGTCGTTGACGAGCGGGTCCTTGATGACGAATCTGAGCTCGCCAATACGTGTGATGTCGCTGTCGTAGAGGCCCTGGCCCTCGAAATCATACGTCTCCTGGTCCCTGTCCAGACCCTCGTCAAGCTGCCGGTTGAAAGCACGTTCGGCAGCACTCATGATGACCTTGCAGATAGCGGGGGTCGCAGCAAGTGCGGGGCAGCTTGACGTGTCCACTTGCATGGCTTGAGTATGACTGACATTCATGTCGATGGCGTGGTCATGTGTGTATTCCATCTCGTCTGGAAATGGCGACTTGTGCTGGGGAAGCAGATCATCAGAGCTGTCGGTCGCATCGCTCAGCATGTAGACGCCGGAATCAAAGTTGCGATCGAGGTTGCGGGAGAATTTTGGCTTTTTGACCTCTGGGCTATTGTGGGCAGACTCGCGATTGTCCCACCACGCGCCCTTGCGTTTGTTCTTGTGGATGCGCGGGGACTCATAGTTTGTCACGTCGACGGATTCGCGCGAGTCGTCGCTGGAAAAGAGGGGAGGAGGGGAGCTCGACTTTGATGTGAAGGCGTTGTGCTGGGGCTCGAAGAAGGGCGGGCTCTGGGGGCTGATGCTGCCCAAATGCGGAGGTGATGACGGAGGAATGGCGTCGCCGTCCATGGCGGGATGAAAGCAAAGCACTCGAGGGACGGACAGACTTGGCGGATGTGTTTTTCTTTGTCTCCCAACAGCGACGTGTCGAGTCTTTTTTCTCTTGCTTAGCGTGATGGAGGTTGGGGAATTCGACCTGGGGACGAAGACGGGACGACGCGTTCCTAGTGCGTCAGACACGCGACCCCACCACCGAACCAGGGTCTCGATGCCGTCATGTTCCGCACCCGATAACGATTCCACGTGCCTCTGCTCCACATAGCACCAACACGGGAAAAAGCACCATGTGAATCGCCGTGGGTACATGTTTCCCATGCTGTGTTCTCTCGCCTTTGTTCGTCGCAACATGCGATGGAAAGTTTTGTCGGGATGCAAACACTCGGATGACGCCAGCTCTGCAACTTGCCATGCAGCAGGTGGCGTCTCGCAAAAGCAACAAAGCAAGCACGCATGACCAAATGCACTCTGACAGAAAAGGGACAAGCTGGGATGGACGAAATGGACGTACTGGGGGCCTCGATCCCACAAAGAAGAAAACACGATTCAGTCCTATCTCCAACGGGTATCACAATCCTCCCATACGCCGGAGAGCAATGTTGGATAATAGCCGGCCTTCCATTTCCACATCCGGACCCTCCAACGGCTCACCCCTGGACATGGCCAGCTCCGTCATGACTTTGCCCATCTCCCTAGTTGGCGTGACCATACTCTTCCACACCAGATTTATCGGCGGCAGGATGACCTTCTTGTACATTTCTTGCTTGGGTATGAATGGATGGATCTCGGGGTGGCCCGACCAGTCCACCCCGGCTGGCCGCACATTGTATACCTTGAACATGGCATTCTTTTTGCCAAAATCAAGTAGCGCAGACTCGGCCTGTCCCTTGACCCTCGCGTACAGTGTGGTAAAGATACCTGGGGATTGCGTGGCACCTTCACCCGACACATAGACAAACGTAAATGGCGAGTCCGGGTGCAGAGAGGAAAAGGCGCGGGCAGCCGCCAGAGGGTAATCGTGGGTTATTTGGAGATATTGCCTGCAATGGTTGTGAATACACATGTATGTGATAAGTAGGCCAGTGTCTGTGCATTGCCCAACCATGTACTATGTGTTGTCCATACTTACTCTTTGCTAACGGCATTCTGGGAGACTCCCTGTGCCCACACACAACCGTGCGCGTCTTTCAGCTCACTCAGCAGCGCCTCATCGTACTTGTTGAAGTCGTCGTGAATGATGACCTTGGCCTTGGCGTGGCCCTCCGCCATCTTGACTGGCCGCCTGCTGAGGATTGATATGCGGCTGATGCTTTCTTGCGCAAGCATGTTGTGGAGGACAGACGCGCCAACAAGGCCGGTCGCGCCAGTGAGTATGAGATGCATGGCTGTCCCGGGGGTTTGCTGGCTGCAGTCTTGAGTAGTCGAGGGGTGTTGGCAGGTCATGAACCTGAGCGGCTGCGACCGTTCATGTACATATAGTAGTTAGCCAGAACGGCAGTCAGCACCATGTGATTCTGCTAGCCCGGAGAAAGGGAGCATATCGCCGTTGAATAAGTGGGCAGGAGGCTCGAGGCGAGAGAATCCTGCGTGGACATAGTGCTATATCCGAGTGTCAGTGTCTGTCTGTGGTCGCCTGGTGTTGGTTGAGTTGAGAGCGACACAAAACGGGGCCGAAAATGGTCCGGCCCGTTGCTTGACTAAGCTGGCGGCTCCTCACTACGACACCGCCAGCGCTGCACCCTGTGCCTGAGAAACGCCGTAGCACGAACCTCGTCCCCTGGCAGTGTTAGAGACGACACGTTCCCCTCGCATGACTTGGCCGCATGAGGACCCGCACCAGAGACCCTCTGCAATGGGAGGCTCTGATACTTTCGAGGCCCCCTGGCGATCCGATGTGGGCCGGGCTTTCGTTTGGCCCGGTCGCCAGGTAGGCGACAAGGTCCAGAGCAGCATGACTGATTGCCCAACACTTTTGTCGCGACAAGTGGATATTATCCCACCCTCTCCCCTTCTCCTTGCTTGAGTTCTTGCAGTTCTTCTCCCGTTGAAATCGTCACCTCTCTTCCCGTCTGCAGCACTCGCAGTCATGGCAGCCACGGCCAAGGCTCTGGCGGATTCACGCATTCTTCACCTAGTCTTACGTCACCTCTCCGACATGAAATACAAGGATCGCCGACAACGAGGATCCGATCAGCCAGTCGAATTTCTGGAATTCCGCCCTACCCTCGTGCCCTCGATTCTCGTCAACAAGCTGTGGGCGGACGAGGGCACGTCCATTCTCTGGAGGCGCTATCCCCACCTCCTGGCTTTGGACGATATGGCACCCGCTCGACGGCAATGGTATGCAAACAAAGTAGAACGCCTGTTCGTCCTAGGCCCACCCGACGACGAAACAAACTTTGACTACTTGCACAACTTGAACTGGCCCAACTTGAAGACACTAGAGTTGGAAGTGGACTGGTGTAAACATGAAAAAGGAATTAGCTCCATGCTTCACGCAGGCCTCCAGCATGTGGAATTCTTGGGTCCACAGAGCCGTGGCTCGGAATATTTTGCTCGCACCATCCTGCCCGCTTTGTTTAAACCAAATCTAGTCAGCATACACATCGGCCCAGATGTAGTCGATCTCGAGGACCCACTACAATTTCATGTGCTCCTGGATTTACTGGATTCTGCGCCAAGCATCTCAGACGTTCGCATAATGAATGCCGGTTTCTCAGCAAAGGACATCATCTTTAAAAATCTCAGTCAACGACTTGGTCTTGAAGCACTACAAATCGATCTCGAACCTGGCCTGCAGCTAGTACCTTACTTCTCAGGCCCATCTGCTCTTCCTTCTTCATTCCTCTCTCTACGGCGTTTACACATCATGTGCTACCCAGAGATCGCTCTTACCTTACTACCTCATCTGCAACTCATCGAAGAGTTACAATTAGACATTGCACGCATTCCTGACCAAGTGCAACAAGAGGACGACGCCGATGTTCTAAATCGAATCATCACCACGCTGGCACAATGCCAACAACTCCAATCATTAAAAATCAACATTGGTCAGCTTGCGGTTGACTTTCCCTCGGCTACATCGTATCCAGCACTCTCTGGGGTCGCACTAATAAAGCTTTCCGCGGGCTGTCCAAAACTGGAAGACATCAGTTTATGCACCGCAGGACCAGAGGGTATCGATGGATCAGCCATCTCCAGTCTTCAATTTGAAACATTCTGCAGAGGCCTACCAAGACTTGTAGATCTTGAACTGAAGTTCCATCCACAAACAGCGATCGACCTGGAGTTCACCGCACTCGGAAGCCTAGGGAAGAACTGTCACCTGCTTGAAACTCTACGGTTGAGAATCTCTTGCCACCTGCCAGATCTGCAAATAGTCAAAGATGCCTCACCGGTGCAGCCTACTGACGAGTTCTCCCAGAACCCGATGGACACGAAGGTGGGGCCCAGGACGCCCTTTAAGACCGCTGACCTTCACGAGAGCGAATGCTTGCTTGACATTGAAAGTCTTACTCTCTCCCAGACAAGTAACACTCCTCTTTTTCAGAACCTCAAACACCTTGCCTTCGCACGACCTCAGTCCATTCTTTCAATCGCAAGTGACACATACATGTCATCATCCAGTTCTCAGACAGGGTCTGTAGTAGATCCCCTCGTAGAGCAAAGCCTCGTTCAGTCCTGGGCACATCCGCTTGCGGCTCAATTCCCTCGCCTAGAAATTCTCGAAGCCTGGGGAGATTGGACAGGCCAAGATAACGAAACGCTTAACTACTTCCTACCACGCGAGGCACTACTAGCAACTATTTGGGAGTTCCTGAGCGGCGTGGAGCAGGATCTCTGGGACGAGGAAGAAGATGTTGACGAAGACATTAACGAAGTCGGCAGCGGCTCGGATTGGATCGACGCGCATACAGACCGCTATAGCATCGACAGCTACACCAGCTTAGATTGGGATTTAGCCAGCCTCGTCAACGAGTTCCGGACCCAGGAAGACTTCACTGGTCGCGCTTCTCTGGATGCTTATGACGAGGAACCGGAGGATATGCTTACCCCCGGACCAATCCCGGATAAAGATGAGGAACCGTATTTTCGGTACTCTGATGCCAAGAATATTGCTGCATCTGGAGCAGGACCGGTTGACCATGCTCCAGGCGCTGTGGCTTGCTCAGTGTAGACATTTCCCCAGCGAGATTGACTGATCAGATGTGAAACCTTGTACATGAATCATCACATGATGGCTTTCTTGTTAGAAGTGCGGCGCGTAATCTCCGTACATATGAATGCCCGTATGCAACTTGTTCGAGGGTAAGATATTTAGACAACTTGATGTAATCACGGCAGTTCAAGTACAATACAGGTATTTGGGAGGAAAGGATATACACTGTTCCTATGTTTTCGTAAGAGAAGGTTTCACCATATTTCATGTTTGGGCCTCACGCTTCAACTTCTTCATCTATAACACACGCTACTATATAACACATACAAGTACAATCAGCATGAACATCAACGTACGCAACCCGCAAACTGTAGCCGAACAGCCTTCAGTCTGGTTCCTCTTGGCATCTTTGTCAAACCCAAGGCACCAGGTGACCCAGGGACCTGGAGTCCATAAAAGAGAAACACTGCACGTCTCAGTATCTCAAAGATCACCTCCCTCACGTCATTAGCCAAGCCTGTGCATAAAATTGACTTTGGCAAATCCCTGCACTCCCTCTTTTTCAAAAAGGTCTGTTACTGCGTTTGGATCGAGAACCTGGGAAGGGTAGGGCGTGCGCGAGCAAGGCCACATTACCTTGGTTGGGGTTCCGCCTGTTGCTGTCTCAACCTCTGCATTTGCTCTCTTCACACCACTTTTTTCTTATTTTTTCTTTGCAAGCGACTGGGAAGTCAAGACTGGATTCTTGCTCCTATGTAAAAGGACGTAATAAAAGAGGGAGGAAACAAGACAAAGCAGCGGAATGCTAGGTTCGCGGAAGGCCGAACTGAGGGCCCAGGAGTAAACGCTCCATTTGTTTTTTTCTATATTTCCAAATTCTTGCCGCCAAATCAAGGCCAGTACGACTCGGGCTTATCGTTCTCGACCGGTTCGGGAGGAACGGTGCCTGAGAACGTGTATATTGGCGAGTACTAATATGCGGATACCGATGACTCCGCTTTCGACACTGCACCGTCTCAGCATCTCCGTCCTCATCGTCAGTACCCTCACACAACACTTTGTCGGAGCAATACCGCATGCTATATACTACCCGCGCCAGGCATCTCCCATTGCTGGGCTACAACTGCCAGGGTGTGCGCTGCGATGCTTGATTACGGAACTGGTACAAGATGGGTGTGCGGGTGAAACGGACTTTGCGTGCCATTGTCAGGGTGGAAAGTTGATGCAGGCTTCTTCGGCGTGTATTACGCAAGGATGTGGAAGTGTGCAGCGAGATGAGGCAGATGCAAAGGTTCAGGGATGGTGTGGGAGCGTCATGGATGATGGAGGGTCATCGATAGCAAGCTCGAGTACGCCGTCGAGTACGCAGTCTAATGGTCAAGAAGCTGCAGTGCCGACTCAGTCGTCAACGAATGCTGCGACAACATCACAACCCACGAACACGATTCAATCTACAGCACTGGCTAGTACACCGACTGGAACTCCCGGAAATCCACCACGTTCTTCATCACTAACACCCAGCGAGACGCCCTCACCGACAGGAACAGCAGTACCCGCATTACCGGAATCATCCACGCTATCTTCAGGCGCAAAAGCAGGAATAGGCATCAGCGTCTCGATTCTCTCCATCATCGCCGGCGTCATCCTCATCTGGTACATCCACCGCCACAAGAGCCAAGCGCAAGCCGCAAAAACCGCAAACACCCAAGCACCACCACTTTCCAACAACGAGGCCATCCCTCGCGGAAGCCAGGACACGGGTGCTTGGTCTACAGATGCCAATAACCCCTATCCCATCAGTCCCATGTCGCCCTCGTACCCCGCTGGCATGCAAGAAACCACTGTCTCGAACATCGGGTACGGCATGGTGATGAAGAAACGGGGCCACGTGCTGAGTATCCTGCTGGAGCGCGACGACGAAGACGCGAGTAGTCTCCGTGTGCGAGAGCCTGTTCCGGGTCAGCGAGAGGGGCTCGCGGAACCGGTTGAGCTGGATGGAATCGGTGTTGCGATTAGTGAGCTACCTGCTACGAATACGCCGAGAAGGAGTTTAGAGAGGTAAAAGGATGAGTGTGCAGCGGCCATGTATAAGATGAGTCTGGATACTCTAGGATTATTACTGTTATTTTAAAAAAGGAAGTACATATTGAAAATGTTTTGAGGTATTGTGGATTGTCCTTTTGCTACTATTATGACTGGGATTTTGAGATGGGTGATTGGAGCGGGGCGGGGAAGTGAAGGTGGATAGAGGTAGGTGAATTCACTTTGTTCGCCGGTAAGTATTGGTATCGTGACTTCTTTCCACTCACTACGCAGGCTCATCTGTTTGCTGGATCTGGCAAACAACCCGCTATATAACCCCCTCCATTGCGCTGCCTCTACCTCTACCAACACACCTTTTTTCTCAGTCAACAGCAAACTATCAAGATATAATCAACTATGCATCTCACCAACATCCTCCAGTCCATCCCTCTCTTCTTCCTCATCGGTTCTGCCACCGCACTCCCTACAGATATGAGCTCTACTACGCAGTCCGCCTCCATCGCCAACAACCGCCTCGCGCTTGAGGCGCGCGATGGCGCCTGCAGCCCCAAGTGCAAGCGGGAGTTCGATAGTTTGCAGTCGTGTCGCTGGATCTCGTATTGCATGTTGAGCAATCAGTATAACATCAAGGTCCGGCTCTATGTAAGTGTAGATTGATCCTGTTTTTTCGCTTTTCACCTTCTTGATTCTTGTTCTTTTTGTTTTAGAGGATGATGCTAATGGGGGTATACAGGACAATTGCTGCAAGCTTGTGCATCCGCCCAACGCGGTTGACGAGAAGACGCGTGAGATTCTGGAGAAGTCGAAGGCTCAGGCTGGGTTTAAGCCGAAGACTAAGACTGGTGGGGAGTAAGTGCCCGGGTGCCTGAGGCGCCGAGGGGGCATGGAGAGATGGGGTGCCACTGTGGGTAACGGCAGTTAGCTAGGAATATGGACTCGGTATAGGTATGGGACTGCGCAGTACACCATGCTCTAGGTTTCGATTGAGGGGTACCCACTCGATGGTAGAGACTCGAATCATGCAATCAATCTCTCATGGACATGATTTCATCAAGTTAGTATGCAATCGGCTGTACTAACAATTCACGTGATTGTCGCCAAGACTTGCCGCATTCAGTTGCGCAACAGAACGCTGCCACAAATACTAGCTTTAACGTTCTGACCCATCTAAACCCTCTCTCTTACATATGCTGTCCACGTAGGCGAAAGTATCCCAGGGCACTGGTAAAGCTTGCGAAGCTTGCGCGACTGTCCTGTCAAGTTCTTACGAGCACGCTTCGGCCCTTCTGATCCGTCTTACTTACACGACCGAATCATGGTAGACCATTGTGAGGCTCGAAAATCGATGACGCGCATGTGATTTAGAGCGAAGAGGACACAGCCTCGCCAGGGGTCTGTACGCGAGCTCTTGTCCTCTCCATCGGCCATCGCGATTCTTGGAGCACCGAGTAGCGGCTCGCTGGTCACCAGCAAGACTCGGCGACTGGGCGTGGTCTGGGCGGATGTAATGGCTGTCTCTGCCGCCGAGGCACTTTTGCTGCCGTAACAAGCACAGAAAAAAGGCCCTTTGTTGTATGTGCCTCACCGCCATTGGCACGACATTCACGATCTCTACATGTGGAAGTAGCAACAGGATCGGGTAGATTATGCGACGGACAAACGTTCTGGTCGCCACGGAGTTGAGAGAGAAGAGAATGGCTCGGGCCAAAGACCAGTCCACTTTTTCCATGCGCGACTTTGGCACGGCGCCGGCACGCCAACACCGATGGGGATCATAACACGCGCACATCAACAGGGATGCTGCGTTTTCAGGGCGTTCGGCAAGACGTCTTCTGCTCGGCGTCGTCCCATATACGCTGAGTACGACCGGGACATGTTGGCCAGTTTGCCTCCACCAGCTAATGACATGTCTCTTTCTTCCTGCTCGAGTCCCTTCCTTCCGCTTTCTGATTGATATCCTTTTTTTGCTTGTTTCAGACCGTGAGGAGCGATGCCGTCGGCCCCTCGAATAATTAAAGAGTAAACACCCAAACATCAAGGCAACCACGATAGCGACGACTGGCGGCTAAGGACAGCCTTTTCACCACCAGCGCACCCCCTCATCGTCATCAGCGCACCCGTAGCGGGCATAGACGACTTGATTTGTCTTTTTCTTATTCTCTATCTGCTATATAGCAGCGTATCAGATTTGGGTAAGCATATACGTTAGCGGAACTCTACTCTCGAACTCCAAGAAATCGGTTAGTAAAACTACTAGAAACATGTACACCTCTTAACAGGTTGATATCTATTGCGCATACCTCTATTGGGTACGACAACTAAATCACGGTTGCGAGAAAGGGCAGCAGAACAACGAATTGCGGTTCTAATAAAAGCAACAGAACAGCGAACTATGGTTGCCATTAGACAGCAGCACAACGAACAGCAGTTGCAATAAGCGCTGAGATACCTACAAATTTGTCAAATAGTCCATCCGCCTCTCCCATCCAATCACCGAGCGGGCATATACATCCATCATGGCTGGCGCAATCGCAAGCCAGACATGGATCCTCACAAAGAAGACATTACTTGTCGTCTTTTGGCGCCACTGGTTCTTCACGAGCGTGCGCGCATTCTGGGCTCCTATCATTTTTGTATGTATTTGGATCCCTTACAGTGCACCACTGGCTAACTATGACGCACGCAGATGTTCTTCATTACCTACGCTAAGAACTTCTTCGTACCACCCTCCGAGTTCGGCATCGGCAACCCGTCCCCCATTCGATCCTTTCCCGACGCTCTCGCTGCTACTAAAGGCGGCCGTGACAAGGTCATCTTTGTAAACAATGGCAACACTGGTGGCCAGATTGATCAGGTCATCGACCAACTATCTACAACTGTGCGCGACGCAGGGCTGCAGGCTATTACGATAGGATCAGAAGTGGAGCTGCTCACAACCTGTGCGAGCTCATTGCGCGGCGCCAGTACTTGCTTTGGCGCCGCCTCTTTCTACTCCAGTCCAAATGAGGGTCAAGGACGGGCCTGGAACTACACACTTCGATCAGATGGCGCCCTTGGCGAGAACATTTACGTGGACCAAAAAGACAATGATGTCCAGATATACATTCTTCCCTTTCAGCGCGCCATTGATCAAGCCATCGCTTCTGTGGATGGATCTAGACCAATTCCTGAGACCAACGAGTATCCCTATACCGACAAGACCCAGAAGGAGTACGATGACAGGATTCGAACACTCTTCATGGGCGCCCTCATTGACATCATGGGCGCAGCCTTGTACATTGGTGTCTGCGGTGTGACGTACCAGCTCACTGGACAAATGGCCGAGGAGCGAGAACGTGGTATCTCACAGCTTGTCGAAGCGATGTCTCCTGCGAAGAAGGCTTGGCATACGCAGTTTGCGCGCCTCCTATCCATGCACATCGCTTTTGATATTATCTACTTCCCTGGATGGGTCATCATGGGAGCCATAGTTTGGGCCGTGGCCTTTTTGTCTTCAAATCCTATCATCCTGATCATCTTCCACGTTCTTGCTGGATTGTCACTAACGAGCTTCTCGATCTTTGGCGCGGCGTTTTTCAGAAAGGCACAACTATCCGGTATCACCATTGTCATGATTCCCATCCTTTTGGCTATCATTGCACAGGTTGCTGGTCCGTTTAGCACCTCCGCTGTTTATGTGCTCAGTTTGATCTTTCCGCCCATCAACTATGTCTTCTTCACAATCTGTGTGGCGCGGTTCGAACGACGACTCATTGGCATGAATATGGTTGAAGCCCCACCTGTATACGAGGATCACGTGTGGACGACTCCCGGTATTGTCTTTTGGGTTTTCGCCATCATCCAAACTCTTGTGTACCCGTTCCTAGGTGCTCTTGTTGAGCGATGGCTCTACGGTACCGTATCAGCTGACAGGAAAACTACAACCTCGTCGCCGGATCACAACATCATTCTTACAAATTTCTCCAAACACTGGACTCCTAGCTGGTTCCGTCGCAATGTCTTGTCCAAATTCGGAGTAAAGCCCCCAGAGACAGTTGTTGCTGTAGACAACTTCAGCATGAAGGCGCGCAAGGGCCAGATCATGGTGTTGCTTGGTGCAAACGGTAGTGGAAAGTCTACCACACTCGACGCTATTGCTGGTCTCAACTCCATCACTAGTGGCGCCATCGAGATTGACGGTACTGGTGGTCTTGGTCTCTGTCCCCAGAAGAACGTCATGTGGGACGAACTCAATGTTTATGAGCACGTCCGCCTGTTCAACCAGCTCAAGTCCACTGGCGAGTTCGACTCGAAAGACAAGATTGAAGATCTCATCCGCGCTTGTGATCTAGGCCATAAGATGAAGGCACAATCAAGCACACTTTCTGGTGGTCAAAAGCGAAAGCTTCAACTGGCAATGATGTTCACTGGTGGCTCCAAGGTCTGCTGCGTTGATGAAGTCTCATCTGGTTTAGACCCCCTATCTCGACGAAAGATCTGGGAAATCTTGCTTGCTGAGCGTGGCGATCGCACGTTCTTGCTCACTACCCATTTCCTCGACGAAGCAGACGTTCTTGCTGATTACGTCGCTATTCTCTCCCGCGGTGTACTCAAGACTAAGGGCACATCTGTCCAGCTCAAGCATGAGGTCGGCGCTGGATACCATGTCACTTATCCCAAGAGCGCCCCGGTCAAACCACCCGTTGATGCAGTCAAGAAGCCTTCACCCTCAGAAGGCATGGTTCAGTACCAGTTTGCTGATGCGCTCCCTGCGACTAGGTTTGTGGACATCTTGAGAGATCACGGTGTAAAGAATTACGATATCGTTGGGCCAACACTCGAAGACGTGTTTCTGGCGAACGCTGAAGAAGTCAAGGAATATAATCTCATGGATGCCGAGCATGGCGAGCACGACGCCAATTCTGAAAAGGATGCCGATGCGCCTTTGGATAACGTTTCAGACCCAGAGAAGAGGCTTGACATGGGCAAAGGCCGCGGTACGGGTCTTTTCCAGCAAGTACTGATCTTGATACAAAAGCGAGTCACCATCGTCAAGCGCAACTTCTGGCCCTATGTCTTCGCACTGATTCTCCCTATTGCTGCAGCTGGCTTGGTTACACTCTTCCTTGCAGGCTACCAAGCTGTCGGTTGCGATCCGGGCGCCGCTTCCAACGACCCAGAAATCTTTTCGCTTTCAAGCAGTCACAGCGAAGTACTGATTCCAATCGGACCGCGTAGCATTGCCGGCCCCGTGGTAGAGACCATCATCCAACGGACTGGTGTTCGAGAGAACGACTTCGAAATTGCGAATACGCTTGACGATTTTAACAGCTTTATACAGACCCGCTTCCGCAACATCACGCCCGGTGGGTTCTTCCTAAATCAAAATGGGCCCCTTGTCATGGCGTACCTCGCTAATGGCGGTGTTATTGGCGGTATGGTAACACTCAACATGCTTGACAGCATTGCTAGCAACATTACAATTGCGACGCAATACCAGAAGTTTGCCGTTCCGTTTGCTCCTAGTATGGGAGACACTCTCCAACTTACACTTTATTTTGGCCTCGCCATGTGTGTATACCCGGCCTTGTTCGCTTTATACCCCACGCAAGAACGGCTGAGGAATGTTCGAGCTTTGCATTACAGTAACGGTATTCGTGCTGTGCCTTTGTGGCTAGCATACACGGCCTTTGATTTTGTATTTGTGCTTATAATTTCCGCCGTTACAACAATCATCTTTGTCGCAGTAAGTCGATCAAACATGCATGAATGCAAAACACGCTGACCCTGACCTAGGCATCGAGTGCATTTTACGCGCCGGGATACCTCTTCGTTGTCTTCTTTCTGTACGGCTTATGCGCGATTCTCTTCTCGTACCTCATTTCAATCGTGGTTACTTCGCAACTTGCAGCCTTTGCTTTCGCGGCTGGAGGCATGGTTTCGCTTTACCTCATCTATTTCATTGGATACATGGCGATTCTCACCTACGCCCCTGCTTACGCCATAGACTCGTACATTGATTACTTTCACTGGACCGTCTCGATCATCTCGCCCTCGGCAAGCTTGCTGAGAACGCAACTACTGTCGCTCAACTCATTTAGTATTTTGTGCGATGGCACTCGGATCCCAAGTTATCCTGGCGCTATCACCGTCTACGGTGGCCCGATCCTGTATCTCATCGTTCAAATCATCGTTCTCTTTATTGCCCTGGTCTGGTGGGACTCTGGGTATCGACCTCCATTCCTTAACCGCGATAAAAGCCGCCAACACCATTCTGAAGAGAATGTGGAAAACGTACCACCGGCAGTCGCAGCGGAGATTGCTCGTACCGAGCAATGCAAAGACAGTCTTCGCGCACTGCACCTTCACAAGCAATTCGGCTCGAATCACGCTGTTAACGACATCACATTCGGTATTCCTCAAGGTCAGGTCTTCGCACTTCTGGGCCCCAACGGTGCTGGAAAATCTTCTACCATCTCACTTATCCGTGGAGATATCCACCCTACAACTCACATCAACGGCGGTGGCGACGTCCTCATCGAAGACAGCTCCATCGTCAAGAAACGCGCCGCTGCCCGAGGCAACCTAGGAGTATGCCCACAATTCGATGCCATGGACACCATGACTGTTACAGAGCATCTCTACTTCTACGCTCGCGCCCGCGGCGTTCCCGACCCCAAAGCCAGCGTCGAAGCCATCCTCCAAGCAACCAGTCTGACCCGCTTTGCCGACCGTCTCGCATCAAAACTATCCGGCGGCAACAAGCGTAAACTCAGCTTGGGCATTGCACTCATGGGTAACCCCTCTGTCCTCCTCCTTGACGAACCCTCAAGCGGCATGGACGCAGCCGCCAAACGAGTAATGTGGCGCACACTGCTCGGTGTCGCGGCCCCGGGCCGCGCCCTCCTCATCACTACGCACTCCATGGAAGAAGCAGACAAGCTCGCCACGCGCGTGGGCATCATGAAGCGCAAGATGCTGGCTCTCGGCACTGTGTCAGATCTCGGTGAACAATACGGTGACGCGTGGGTCGTTCAGCTTGTCTTGAAGTCCGCGCCTGAGACTACTGAAGAGGAAATGGAGCAGGTTAAGCAGTGGGTTGCACGAAGTATCCCAGGAGTTCAGTTTGATAAGTGGGGATCCAGAGGGGGTGGCCACGGGCAGTTGAGGTTCAAGGTGCTTAAAGCTGCAGCGACTGAGGCTGCCCATATGGACAAAGAAGATGGCAAGGCCGCTGATGTGGATGTGACGAGAGTGGGGTCGAAGGAGTCGGCGTCGGATCTTGGGGGTATTCCTGGGTTGATTCAGTTGCTGGAGACGAATAGGGAAGAGTTGGGTTTGGAGTATTATTCTGTTTCTCCGACCACGTTGGATGAAGTTTTCCTGCGTGTAATCGGGGAGGAAGAGGAGGAAGAGAAGGGGAAGACAGGGGGAGTGTCAAAGGTCAAGCGTCTTTTGACTTGTGGGTTTGCGCGCTCGTAGATTACCCGAGATGCTTGTCTATATTGTGGCACAATACGCGATTGAGTAGATTACAACAAAGCTGATTTTCTAATCGATGCCAAAGGATTGATTGAAGAAGGTCCCTATACCTTTTTGTACGAAAGAAGATCATAATATACAGCTACGGTCTAGGCACGTGATACTACCTTTCTTTTTATTGTATATCCCGCATGGTAAAGTACAAATGACACCAGACTCACATTTTCTTACTCATAATCACGTACTCCGCCTTGACCACCTTCCTCCGCATAACCCTATCAACAGGACTACACTCATCCCTTTGATACCCCAACTTCTCATACATTTTCTTTGCGCCCTCGTTCGCTACGAAGACTGTCAGCATTGTTTTCCCGATGCTGCAGGCACGCGCGACGGCTTCGACGAAGGTCATCAGGCGCGAGCCGAGGCCCTGGTGGCGCAGGGGTGGGGAGAGGTGGATTTCGTAGATGTAGACTACGGGGCGGTCTTGGTGCGGGGGGTCGTCCCAGGTGAACATGAAGGAGATGAAGCCGAGGATAGGGGGGTTGGGGGAGGCTGGTGGTGGGGGAGGTGTGGGGGTGGAGATGGAAGTGTAGGTTTGGGCGAGTTGTTCGAGGTCGTCTGGTTGGACGTGCTGAGGAGATGATGGATCCAGTTTTCGTCTCTTAGCGCTACCTGTTTCTTGGTCGCTCGTCTCTTTGTTTTCTGACTGCGTGTCTTGCTCGACTTGTTGTTGTTGGTCTTGGGGTTCAGGTGCAGACGCTTGGTCGGGATTGGCTTGGCGGACGAGCAGGTATATCATGTCCTTGTCCATCATTTCTTCTCGCTTCTTGCGCGTGTTCCAGCCGATTCTTGAGGCGCGGTAGTCGTCTCCGGATGTTTGCTCGACGAGCTCGATGCAGGCCTGGAGGTCCTCTTCTTTGAGTTGGGTGCCTGAGGTTACGAGATCGAAGCTTAGTGGAAATGGTTGATTTGGTGACTCGTAGGATTTGAAGCCGACAAGTTTGTCTTCGAATAGCGTTTTTACTATAAGCGTGCGTTGGACGACGTGAGGCATGTTGATTGTTCAGGCGGATTGGCGGAGGAAAACTTGGATCTTTCGAACCAGTGGAAAGTTGGGGACTTGGAAGGTGATTTCCTGACTTCACCGTCCGAACAATTATCTCGTTCAACTACGCTGAACCAACAAAGGTGAGTTTGCCATTAGCCCCTGTGCGTGTGTGTTGCTAGTGGGGTGAAGGGCGCGTTGTGGGGAACGCGTCGCGGGGCAGGTCGTCATTTTGGTTTGAAGTCTACGTACAACGAAAAACCAGAGGACGATGACTGTCCAAATTCACTACGCATGAAACAACTGAATACCGTGATATCTGTTGCGCTATCTGCGATCACATATTCTAAGCAAGTGTAGCTACGCAGCGCCATCCGATCTCAAATGCGAGTCGTTGTCTGCCGCGGTCCCACGTCGGCGTCGTTGCAGATCTAGCGCCATCACGGTCTAGTTCATCTCTTTACGTCAGTCTGCATCAGTGTGAAGAGCCTCGCTCATCCTACCAAAACCCATTGCTGTCAGTCAGTGGTTCTGCATTCTCAAGTCCAGGCAAATCGTGTGTGTCGAATCGCATCGAGGACATGTTGCGAAGATATGCGACAGTAGCGTCCAAGCCTCTTTCTCGGCTAGGCGCTCGTGGGAAAAGTCCTGTTAGCCTCGACCACGTACGTGATATTTGCATGTGCATAAGAGCGAATCGAAACGGGCTGACTTCTATGCAGTTCATTCAGCGACAGCGCGTGCTGGCATTGTGGCGAGACATTGTGCGGAGTACGGCCAACATCCCCGATGAAGCGGCAAGGAAGGATATGCGACAGTTTGCAAGATCAGAGTTTGAACAACATCGTCGAGTAACTGACCTAGTACGCAAAAAATCATGACTTGATATGTACCCCAGCTAATCTCTCTCTCTCCAGGGCCACATTCGATACTTAATCTCCGTATGTTTCTTCACAGCATCACAGCGCCCATTCAGTCTACTGACTCAATCGCAGCATGGAAAAACGCAATTTCAGGCAATGAAAGACACTCTGATCAACTCTGGTGTACTCACCGAATAAAATCTATTTCATACGTCGTTCCTGCAGCTGTCATCGTGCTCTGTGTTGAACCATGTTTTCATTGGCCAATTCTTCGAGGGGCATTCGTTTAGCGTCTTCAACACTAGCATCGAGCACTTCAACGCCGTCTAACTCTGCTCCACCTTTTTACACTTGTAACATTATTCTGACTTGCATCCAACCTTTGAGGCTTTTTCAATCTCCATTTTGCACCGGGCACATTTTCATGTCACAAGGGGCCCACCTACAATGGCACTTCCTTCAGAAACCTCGGTGTTGATCGTAGGCGCCGGCCCCGCGGGATTAGTCACCGCGAAGACATTAAAACAGGCTGGATACACTGTCACCGTTTATGAGAGAGCCGAGCGGGTTGGAGGCATGTGGAGGGATGAGCGGGGAGGATTTGGCGATAAATGCAGCCCAGATATGCGAACAAACCTCAGCAGATTCACAGTGGCTCTTCCTGATCTTTCGTGGAAATCCGTTGATCCAGAGGCTCTGCAATCTGGTGCAAACGCACCGCCCATGTTTCCAAAGGCTTGGCAAGCTGGGAAATACCTTGAGACGTACGCGGAGACTTTTGGAATCATTGAAAATATCATCCTCCGAACATGTGTTATCGATGCGCGACTACAAGACAATAAGACTTGGAAAGTAACTAGTGATGATGGGTCCGGAAAGCACACCACCATCACGTTCGACCGGCTCATCATCGCAAGCGGCTTTTTTGGCAAACCCTCCAAATCCTTCGATCCCTCAGCATCTAAAAATCTTCCAAACATTCAACACTCTTCTCGTTTTCGCAATGTATCTGAGTTGAGTGGGCGGTCTGGAAAGATTGCCGTCATTGGAGGGGGCATCAGTGGCTCAGAAGCAGCATCACAAGCGGCCTTTCAGATTTCGAATGCAAGGCATTCTCCTAGTAGAGAAAAGCCTGCCCATGCTGCAAGCACAGTCTATCATATTTTCAATCGACCTTTTTATTGCCTGCAGCGATATCTGCCCCAAGATCCGCAAGACAAAGACGGAATATTCAATCAAGCGCCAAAGTTTCTTCCTCTTGATCTTGTTCTCTACAACCTCTCACGGCGCGGTGATGGAGAAATAACAGCAGCCATCGCTACTGTACCGCCTGAAAAGGCAAAAAAAGGACATGATTTTCTGAGGTCGAGTTTAGGAGGCGACCAGAGTGATTTTGGATATCCAAATCTTACATACGATGCAGAGCACATGCAACACCCTGGGTACACGGGTATCACGGATACGTATATGGAGTTTGTAAGAGATGGGACCATTGTACCAGTGCAGGGCTGGGTGGATAAGGTCGATCAGCAGTCGGAAAGCGAACTTTTTGACATTGAACTAAAACAATACAAGCCATGGTATCATGCCTTAGAGAAGGAGGCATCTGTAAGTTTATTGCTCTTTCGTATAAACTCACAGCAGCACTGAAGTCTACTAGGGCACCAGCAAACTAACTGACGTAACTGGTATAATTGAAGCTACAGGATATAAGACTGACCTCGACTGGCTTGACCCTCAGGTGAGGGAACTGCTAAGTGACAAAGACACATTACCAAATGCAAGAATACCGTTCGTCCTGTCACGTGGTTCCATATTCGCAAACAAGTTCCCTACCCTTGGCTTCGTTGGATTCTACGAAGGGCCCTACTGGGGAGTAATGGAGACCCAAGCTCGTTTTCTTGCAGAAACCTGGGCCAAACAGGAAACATACAAGCTTCTACAATCTCTAGACCGTGAGATCTACAGGCCAGACGCTACAAAGCACATGCGCGAAGCCATGATGAAAGACCCCCTTCAAGTCCCGCAGTTCTGGATGTCAGACTATGTCGGCCTAATCGAAGAATTCGCACGCGAAGCAGGTCTCTCACGCGACGACTCCGCCTTCGACGGCAAACAAACCGGTCCCGCATTCCCCTCACGCTACCAAGGCGCAAACTCCGGGCCCCAAGCCAAAGAAGTCGTCCAGGAAGTCGCCGAACTGATCAAAGCATCCTCTGAAAACGCGCGCTTCGTCGCAGCAGCCGTCTTCACAGCCATGCAAGGCGTCTGGAACATTCACCGCAAAATCGAATCCCGTACCAATACCCCCGGCGGCATCTTCACCGGCACCGCGCATTTCCATCCGCGCGAGCCGACAGATGCCGCACTCTACTCCGCAGAGTATCTCTACATTGAAAACGGCACCTTCGCCATGGACAACGGCCTCTCATTCCCCGCAACCCGACGCTACGTATACCGGTACTCGGAGGCCCGCGACAAGATTACAGCGTGGTTCGTATCCGAGGATAACGAGAGCGTAGGCGCGCTCTTCAATACGTGGGAGTTTTATGCGCCGGAGAGGAAAGATAGCGGGTGGATGGCAAGGGGGTATCATTGGTGCGACCCCGATACTTACAGGAATACGTGTGAGTTTCGGTTCAGAGGGGTGCGGATTGAGCGGTTTATGGTGAGGTATGAGGTGCAGGGCCCGAAGAAGGATTATCAGCATGAGAGTTGGTACGAGAGGCCTAGGGCGAAGGATTTGAAGAGGGGGGAATAAGTGATACAGGGATGGTATGTTTTGGTGATTGATTGAAAGGGGTATCATATTCTACTCTTCGCCGTTTTATCGTACAATATTTTCTTAGCACAACTTCTCGTAAGAGAGCTTAATGCTCTGCACCTCCATTTGCAAGCGTACTCGGATGTGTAGGTGGTCCGTCCCTGCCAACACTGCTCAAGTCCGCGAGGAGAATCTTGAGATGAGTCTGTCTGTTCTGATTACTGCTCCAAGTGACAGCTTGGGAATAATACAAGATGTCCCACGCCTCATCACTAATGTTTTGTAGAAATGTCGGCAATGACCGCGCTTTTTGGTATGAGCGCCAAAGTATGCGTCTGATGTCGTCGTTGGCACCGATATACGCAAATTGGATCGCTTGATTGAAGGACTTGAGCGCAGGCGAGATATTGAATGGGGGTGGGAGGTGAACGCAAAGGTGGTCGAGAGCAGCGCTGTGTTCTGGGTCCTGACGTGCCATGATCATGCGCTCCTTGAGTGTAGCAGTGCGACTGTCATCGAGCTCGTATGGATCTGGCGCCGTCTCGTGAGCGAGCGTCGTCAAGTCGCCAGGTTGCGGTTTGTGTTCTGAAATGAGCTTTTGGATGTACATGAGTTTTTCCATAAGTTTGGGATCTTCCATGATTTTGTCAACCTTGGCTTGTAGTTCGGCAGGTACTTGTTCCTCCTCCTCTTCGATCTGTAGGGGCTGCGATGCTTTAGATAGAGCGAGCTTCTTGAGTTCTTCGGCTAGTTCTTCGGGATCCATTTCGCGTTCGAAGACGCCTTCTTGATCTTGTGTGCCTGTTGGGTCCTCCCTAAGTGCTGCATCGAGTTCGGCCTCGAGGTTGGAGTCACCACCCAGTGACTTCATGACATCGCGCATCTGATGCAGAAGCTTGTCCACATCCTGCATATCTTCTGGTGTTGGCATGGCAAGGTCGTCATCTGGCGTTTCGGCTTCAGTGATAGCATCACTAGTGTTTCTCTGATACTGTTCCCATTCTTCTTCTAGTTCCGCATCGCTTACATCTGCGTCCAGCGCGGCAATCTTCTTCTTCATAGCCTCGTTGCCTTCTAGCTTAGCCATAGCCTTTTGTAGTATTTGTTGAAACTCGAGGCTGTCGATGTCCTCCATTTCCGGCATCTTGTCAATGACTTCTTGTAAGTCTTCCTTTGCATCACCAATGTCTGGGTCGTCGATGAGTTCTTGTATAGCCTCATGTGTGGCCATGCGTAGACCTGCGTTGAACTCTTTGCTGCTTGCTTCAGCCTCGAGTGCATCTTCTTCATCCATGGCCTCAAGCTCTTCTTTAGACTTGATGCTCTGTTTGATATCCCTCAGCTCTTCCGTCAACTCGGCGAAGTTTGGGTTCGAGAGGAGGCTGTCGATGAGGCGCCGGTTTAGTTTGGCATCGTCGTAGTCGGGGTTCTTTTGTGACTCTTCTATCATAGTGTACATCTCTTTGTCCTTCTTGCGGTCCTCGACAGTTGCTATGCGTTCAATGAGACGCTGAGGCGTGCCCTTGTCCAGATCCTGTTCGTACCAATTGATGACGGGGAGATCGTCGCGCTCCAGTTCGGCGTCGGATAATGGGCGCATTGCTTTGTCCATCTTTTCTTCGTCATCAAATATAGATCTTGAGCCTTTAATACGCTCTAGTACCGATGGGCTAGGTTCCATATCGGCATTCTGGCGTACTTTTTCATCTTTGGTGGTTTTGGAGCGTTTTCCACGAAGAAATTGGATTGGGAGAGGACGGGCAAGCGGACACCTTCTAGGCTGCGGCCGCGAAAGGGCTTGGATCAGCGCCCTTGAAGGAACGTATGCTCGTGAAGGTGCCATAACTATGGCCAGTCTTTGCTGGAATGACGACGTCAACCAGTGTTTGGGGATTTTTGGGCATGGCTGCAAACAATGCAAACATTCTCTTGGCACCTCCGAGAACTCCGCAGACAGCACTAGGCCTATTCGGGTCTTTCTCCTACATCCCTCTCTCAATTGTTCGCTGTAACACCGTTTGAGGCTTTTAAACACCGTGTCTTGGTCTATCTATCTGCAATGAAATCATAACATTCTTCAATTCTATTTACTGTCGAAATATGCATAGTTTGCGTGAACATCTTGAGTCGTACCAGCGACCACCAAGAAGTAGTCCATACACAACACTTGCCTTAATGATATGCCTCTCTTTACTCGCTGATGAGGTATCCCGCTCCTTAATCCTAGCTGCAAAGTAGGATGGATGCTGTCAATGCAACAATCAAGGCTACCGCCGATGATGTAGGCAATTCACCTTGTTCTAAGGTCCTCTTAAACTGGTCTGCTTCAGCTACAACCGATGCCACATTCTCCTCACTGCTCGTGGTTGAATGAATTTTTGGTGATTCATGGAATTCCGTACCGTTTGAGACTGCCAAAATAGCGAGTATCGCTAGGAGAAAAGGAAGGTAGCGCATGATGAAGGTCGAGTCGCTTATGATAAACAAGGATGATTGATGCAAGGTCAGATGATGAATGCAAGAGTACGGGAAAAGATGGAAACTTAAGTATAGAGGGCACTTGATACGTTGTCGGGATACTATGAGTACCTGTATGATTCAACACCTGGCATTTGCAATCCACATAGTTGAAGCACATGGTACATTGTCCATGGTGAATTGTAACATTGCATACAGTGACGGGGGCTTGCTGCGGTAGGACACTATGAACTTGCTGCTCTGTCACGGGACAGTGTATTCCATGCTCAATTTGTCTTGGGTGAGAGATCTGTTAGACCTGCAAAATTATAGCAAAAGTTCTCGTGGTCCAAGTTGCTATGACTATGTCTACAAAGCAACACTTGAAAACAGCTTATCTTGTTCGGTAGCGATTAAAAAGCATACCACCCAGTGACAAAAGAATTTCCATTATCCTAAGAATACCGGCCTCTGTATGTTGAATAGTGCATATCGTAAGTAGCGCTATACGATAGCACATCGGCCACCCCTCTTTTTCTTTTATTCGAATTCCTAATGTCTTCGAAAACATTGGTTGAAATTTACCAAAATGTATATGTAGACATAGCTGGCTTATATGATAATGTGTACGTGCATTTGAGGGCTAGATATATTGCTCATCGTAGCGCATGTAGTGAGGGAAGGCTGATGCGGAGCGCTTCTTCCGCTCACAAGGCCCGTTTCCCGGATTCTATGACGCAGCATGACAAGGACAACAAACAAGTGCTGACTGTATCAGATTTTCCCGCCTGTGTAGGCTGCACGATTCCTATGCCTGAGTTTAAAGTTCCGGACGACTCCTCAGTCTTGCGCATACCCCAGGATGTATGAAACATTCCCTTCGTACTTCACGGACACTGCGCCGCAACCAACAGCAACACAACATTACTCAATGGACCGCTCGCTTTTTTGCATCTTCCGATACACTATGGTTTAGTCGAGATTCACAACACGAAACACGAACCCATATAGACCTTACTGCGAGGAAGGACTTACATAGTTCCCAGGCACACGACCAATGGTACGAGGTGTGAGGACCTGAGGAAATTCTGAGTAAGATCACCATGCTACCCCTGGTTGCCTTTGGGCTATCAAATACTATTTTTAGTTCCGTAGCATGTCATTACCGTTGTTGAATTCGGATGTCGCATTTATCTTTGAGACTGCATACGCGCTTCAAATGCTTTGCTGGCAACAGACACAGAAAGGGACACGTGCCGAACAAACTACAAGATGGGTATCATGGGTACGGGATAAGGGTAGACAGTTTGTTCTCCTGACGAAAGCGCATCAGTATGAAGCAGCGTGCTGCCATCTAGTTGCACCAATCATGCCTTTTGATACCAGTGCTAGTCCTTCCGGAGTTTCTTCCCCGCGATTGAGCTTTGGATGTTGCAAGCTCTACTCTTGCTTGATCCATTGCCCACGTACCAGAACGGAAAGTATGCCAATCACATGCATATGTACTCGGCTCACCCCTCATCTTTTCAAGCCAATTTTAAACTTGAAATAGCTTAGCAACGTCTGTTTGTCTTGGACCTGCCTCTTCAGGTTTCACACTCTAAATTCGTATTGATGGAATCGACGTCATGCGATGATCTGCATGTCGGATGGGTTACTGCTCGGTGACAAGCTCCCGAGATCTTTGCAAGGATGTCATCACGTGTGTTTTCAACGCTCGGCAATCCTGTGTGACGCGGATTAATATACCACCAAGCAGAAAAGCGATGGTACGTTATGCGCAGGGGTGGACACAATTATCGAATGCTCAAATGGGCTCGATCCCGGAGTATAGCTCTCTTCAAGTATTCAACACTAGCGCTTCCCCACCATCTTTCTGCCGATCCCTGCCCCGGCTATATTTTACGGGTAAAGATTACGCCCGAACAGTCAGGAGTAGAAGTTTAAAATCCGAGTTATTGATTTCAAGAGGCTGATTTGTGGTTTAATCTCAACCTAGTTTGGTGTAATCGAACCCTGCAATACACCACCCCTGGGCTCTTGCAATGAGGCGCTTTACTTGTGACCGCCTAGGATGCCGTCTTACGTTCCGTCAATGAGCTCCTAGTAAAGCGAAAAAAAGCTATAAACTCGGTGTGCCCCGGAATTTGCGCGTAGTTGCCATAGTGGATTGCATCAGCCGTCCTCATAATGCGTCTCTTCAGTGTCGCAGGTCTGGGCCTTTTGGCTTCAGTCGCGACCGCATCGCTGCAAATTGTACCTGGAGCCACGTGGACGGCAGTATGTTAATTTTTCGGCATAGATTCAACCTTGGCTAAGTTACACCCAGACAAACATCGGTCAACATATCCAAGCTCATGGCGGAGGTATGATAAAAGATGGCGGAAAGTGGTATTGGTACGCCAAATGGCCCAACACATTGCGTACCCTGGTCCGCCACTAACATCATCCAAGGGTTGGCGAAGACAAAACAAATGGCAGTTCTTTCCAGAACATCAACTGCTACTCGTCGAGCAACCTTGTAGAATGGACTTATGAGGGCGCTTTACTTTCGCGCACCGCATCCGGAGACACGGGCCCTAACCGTGTCATCGAGCGACCAAAAGTCATCCACAACAAGAAAACCGGCAAATATGTGCTTTGGATGCACATCGATAGCTCCGATTACCAAGAAGCCAAAATCGGTGTAGCTGTTGGCGACACCGTTTGCGGAAAGTATACTTACCTGGGGAGTGAGCGGCCGCTCGGATTCGAGAGCCGAGACTCGGGTGTGTTTGTCGATGACGATGAAAAGGGCTATTTGCTGACAGAAGATGTACGACTTTACCCTATGGCTTCTCTATGTCTACATGTTACTAACAAAAGTAGCGCGCAAACGGTCTTCGCATCAACGCCCTTTCCGACGACTACTTGAACGTGACAACAAATGTTTATAAATGGGCCGAAAAATACGAGTCGCCAGCTGTGATCAAGAGCAACGGAGTATACTTCATGTTTGCCTCGCAACTTACCGGCTGGAACCCCAATGATAACTATTACAGCACCTCGACCTCTCTTTCCGGTCCGTGGTCTGCGTGGAAAAAGTTCGCTGACTCAGGATCCAACACATACGCATCTCAGACCACTTTCGTCCTTCCCGTCGGCAACAGCTTCATGTACATGGGCGACCGATGGCACAGCGAAAACCTCATGAGAAGCACGTACGTCTGGCTTCCGCTGCAAATCTCCGGCACAACTGCGACCATGAAGAACGCGGTAAACTGGATCATCAATCCCAGCACTGGTGCCATGACTGCCGGGCCCACCGAAAACTCCTATGAGGGCGAGTCCGCAACACTATCTGGCGGCGCGCGAATACTCTCATGCTCGTCTTGCTCAGGTTCGCAATCAGCGGGGTACATTGGCGGTACATCATCAGGCGTCATCACCTTTGCCAATGCTCAGTCTTCGGCTACGACACGCACTACGCTTAGGATCAAGTATCTCAATGGTGACAGCACGCAGCGGTATGCAGATGTCACCGTCAATGGAATAACACAAAAGGTTGCGTTTGTTCCAAATGGTGGAGGCGACCCAGGTAGCTCGGTTGTGCATGTTGACTTGAAGCAGGGCAGTAATGAGATTAAGATTGCAGGAAACAATGGAGGCTGGGGACCTGATATCGATCGGGTATTTGTGCCTGTGACCTAAGTAACTACATACGGTTTAGTACATTACGAAGAAGATGGTTCTTTGATACAGGGTCGGGCTGGAGCTGAGGAAGTGGGAGATGTGTGTATATATTTTAGCTGAGCCATAATTCTGACGACATCCAAAGTCACCTCTGACCATGAACACACGTACTAGCGATATCTCTATTCTTCCTTCTTCATTTGAAGAGATGTATCTATGAAGTGACGGATATTTGACATGACGTGTATCTAAGGGATATATTTGTATACATGACGAGCTGGCCTGCACTCGTTTTCACACTCATAACTGCGTATTATGCACATTTAAAGGCATAGCACAAGAAAAGAAAAGATTTCTCAGTCGCAGAAACCGCTTATGCGGTAAAGCTCCTTGCCTTGACCAATCGTGCAGCCGCCTTGCCAGCCATCTTGCTGGTGACGAACCGGGCCGCCTCATTCGCATTTGCACCATACGACAGATGGGGCGGCAGAATGATAGCCTGACCAGCGCAAATAAGATCGCCAGTTGCACAGATAATCTTTGTGTTTGCAGCAGCGATTTTGCCGACAGCCTGGCCGTTGTCTGGGTCACCGAAGATGACGGCGCTGGAGACAAAGGCAGAGTCGTCAGCGCTGAGCATGGCAGCTGCATTGTGAACGAGTTGACCTCCCTGGCTTTGAGACTGTTAGTAGACATCTCGATAACCTCATGAAGATATGTAGTTGGAGGAGAAACACTTACGAGTATCCTGCCATGACCAGTGTCGTGTCGGGACACTTTGCCTTGACCTGTCCAACCATCTGGGCCATCAACTTGCTACCACCGGCGTCACCGCCAACGAGAAATCCAGGTACATCTGCTGGGTATGCGATGCCCTGAACAGCTACATCTCCGCCCATCATTGCGCCTACGGCAGTGACAAAAGGCGGACCTGCGACGGTTCCCATGTTGCCGATCTCAGTGGTACCACGGGCGAAGAGAATGGTCATAGCCTTGCATGCACCACCATTCGTGACGTCGTTTTGAGTTGACGATATAAGAGCGGCCGATGCAGCCGTCGGAAGAAGAAAGAGGGCTGACTTCATGTTGATATTTGTGTGTAATGAATGATCGATTTCGTAACGTGGGATATGTATATTAAATCCTGAATAATATTAAATAGCTGAAGTGACTGGATAGGTTTTCCGCGCTGAGAAGAAGCTTAGATGAAGATGAGGCTATGGTCTAATCTTCCACGGCCTATCCTCCCTTCTTATAAGATAGCCTGCTGCATCTACATTTGAAGCTGCCGAGGCAAATGTGGTGATCCAAGACTTTGCGACTCATAGTATACAAGCAGTGATGTTTCCAGTTGCCTTCCAAGAGCTCATCAAACATCATGCCACTCTTCAAATAGCTCGTTCGATAGCTGCCAGTCTGTTCGTGAGACATATCTTACGAGCCCTTCCCTGTCGAACGAGGCTTCCTGGAACCATCTTCAGTCTGGAGCTGAGAACGGTAAGACTACAGGTTGGCGGTTGTAACGGCCTCACTAGCGTGCTTTGGGGTACGTAATGCCGGGATTTGGAGCGCCTTGCTTGTATGATATGTGGTATGGGTGGAGTGGGTAAAACAGGCAAAAGGTCAGCAGGTTCCACAGCCTTGACTTCTTGTGGAATACGTGTGACTAATTGGCAAGATCTCATGGTCTTATGGCCCAATTAACGCTGTCTCCAGCATGGCGGGAAACCGTATACTTGGACCAACTCTGGAAACCTCGCCAAACCCTATATCAAGAAGATTTATCAGCTTCTAAGGAACCATTCAAGACTCTGATGCAGCATTGGCAACCTCGGCATGTGGCTAAAGTAGTGCGCCACGCGACTGAGAGCTGTCGCGGGGGTCGTTCAACAGTAGCGGTTTCAGCCAGTCGTTCCACGTTTTCAGCTTTCGAATCAGATTGCGTTTTACAATAAAGCATATGTAGGTACACAGTCACTCAGGTTCACGGAAGTATCCATTCCCGAGAATGATCTGCACGCCTTGTCAGTGTGGTGGGGTATGTGTTTTGGATCTGCGAGGCTTGGTGAGCTTGTTCAGGCGGTAAGGCTGCGGTACCGTTGGAGACGCGATTGTGTGTAAGACCGATGGTTCAGAGGCATCAAGGCTTCGAGACATTGGAATTCGAGCTTATATCTAGCCCCATTTCAGAAGGCGGGTGAGTTGTAGTGCGATGCGGTGCAATGCTGCAAGCGTCCACGGCCATTGATGAAGGCATAGTAACAACCAGCGAAGCGCCTTCACATTGACGGCATCTTCTAAGTAGCTTACAAATCAAACACAAGGTTGCATGTTTCCACAAATGTTTCGATATACATGCCTATAGGTTATCGGGAATCATGGAAAGGCAAAAGGGCGCAATCGCCCGCTTTGGCTTAGTAGTAGAGGATACTGTTTTATGCGCTAGTGAGGAAAAGTCTACTAGCCTAAATAAGAAGGCATCAATAAGACTAAGTAATGAGGTCGAAGTTAACAACGTAATAGTTAAAAACAGTATTAAGGACCTCTACCTAGTCATTCTTGATTTCCTGTATTTCATGAGAAATGAATTCTTTCTGGAGAAAAACGACGCTCTGGTACTATGGTCGAATTACCATAGAAATTTCATCCTTTCAAAACTTCCTTTGATGGAAACCCAATCAACACAGCTTTCTGGCACGTGAAGATTAGCCTGCCACCCCCCGATAGCTTCCGTGCCAGTTTCTTGCTTTTCTTTTTTCTTTTCAGTACTCTCTTCATCAATTTCCACTTCGATGTCGCCAATCTCGGCCAATCTGGTCTTGTAATTGACAAAATCTCTCAGAATAAGCAACACTCCCCTGTCCGTCTCTCGTCTCTCATATATCAAACTGTCACTTTCAGAATTTTGCTTATGCGCTGGAATTTGCTTGTCGCCTCGATGTTTTGGCATCTCGACTAACCCATAACCATTTGTGTTTTGCCAAAACTCGTATACGCATCCGCCAGAGAAAACGCGGCTCATTGCGGACGAGTACAAGGTGGTTGTTTCTTGAAAAAGGCGGGGTTTCTGAGAGTTGTTGCCGTATTCTGACAGAAAGATCGGGATGCAAGTGTTGGTGAATCTATGAAGCTACACTATAGGGTTAGACTGTAGAAAATTTCCAGGATATTTAAGGCCTACCAAGTCGTCATATTCGAGTCTAGTAACATCTGAAAGCCCCTTCAAGTCGTAATTTTTACACTGCATTATGCATTAGTGTCTAAAATCCTTTCAATTCGTGATAGAGCATTCACCGTCCAGAAATCGATCGAGATATGATCCTCACCAACAGTCAGATATTCCAGCACTTCCTTGTCTCTCGCACCGCTTGTAGCCGCATTGTATCCGATAGGAAGTATGCGTTGTCCACAAGCTTCATTTTGGAGCTTCATGTGCTTCTTCAGATCGCGAACAACGGCTTTGAGAACAGCTGCTACAGGCAGCGTGGCATCATTGTTGATCAGTTCGTTACCAGCCAGTACACCGAGAGTATTCGGAAATTTAGCCATTGTGTCCACTGTCTTGAAGAATGATGCCATTGTGTCGGGGTTATAAGACTTGGTTGGGGCCAGACGATTAATGGAATTCAATGGTGTTGAGACAGCCTTGGCAGGAGCACATATAGTCAGTTGAGTGTGTAAGTTGCAAATTACAAGAGCTATACCCACCATGAAGACGTATATCCCTGCTTCTTCAAGTAGTTTCATGACCCGTGTATGATCTTTTGTATTGTCGATACAATCTTGACACACAAATCAGCCTCATCATAATCCTAGTTGCTCATATGCCTACAAATGAAGAGTGTATTGAGACCGAGCTCCTTGAAGAGAAAAACATCTTCTCGAACTTCCGCAAGGTGAGCATCCGAGATGGGGTCAAGTGTAGAATGCAGTTGGTATGCAACACCTCTTACGAAAAACTTTATCATTGATATTAGATTCAGCGGCATCGAGAGTCAACGAGGCGAGACTTACTCGATCATCACCTTTCCAGAAGAAGCGCCCGCAAATTCGTATAGAAGGACAGGAGATACTGGCGCTCATGTTCAACAGATGTTCGGCAAGTTATCTAAACCAAATTTAACACATTGCGACCCCGCTTGGTCTTGCGAGTTGTACTAGGTGCGTGTATTACGAAATAAGACGAAATGACCCGATGGTCAAAGAGATAGATGGATGAGAATAAGGCACGACAGCCAGCGGAGTATGGATGTAGAGAGGGTGCGAAGAGCTGCTTACTCTGTACCAGACATTGTTTCCTTGTGACGTCATGAATGCTGCTATTAACATGACATATTTTTCGTACGTGCCTCAGAATCCAAAGAAATCATCAGCTATGTTTCGTCTACGTTATACAACGCCAGGTCAGCAAATCAAGCCGCTCATGTGCCACCCACCTAGAACACCAACGTATACTTACTTTTCTCTCGATCTACACCACAATTGGTGACTTTAAACCGGCTAACTTCCTTGATCAAATTCCAACATTTCTTCTGTATCTCTAGACGCACAATTGCTTGAATTGCTACTATGAAATATCAATTTCAAGAGAAACTAAAATTAGACAAGAGGAGTTCTGTAATTTCGCTCTCACCCCGCGCTAAGGACATACCCCTTGGCCGCTAACTCTGCATTCGGTGTTGTGAATGCGGCACCTTTTTGCCCGCCCATGGCTGCCTGGTACATGACTCATGTGCTTGCGCCCTTTGTTCGTGGGTCAAATCCCGTGACGACAGCCTTATGAATACCTCACGCCCAAGCACATGGATCAAGAAATTTTATTTCCTGTTCACCATATTACAGCGTAGTCCACTCACATATGCAACATGCCACTAGAAGTCCACCGCATCACGTCGCCAGACGACTTGAGAACTTTCGCGGTAATCCAGCTTGCCGCTTTCGAAAGTGGGGGTGGCATAGCCTCTTTGCTCAATCCCAAGCCAGTCACCGATGAACAAATCAAGAAATACACCGACAAGCATGTCAAATCCTGGCGCGAAGAGCATGATGTTGTCTACCTCAAAGTAGTAGATACGGATGTAGACGGCGGCAAGATGATTGCTGGTGCAAAGTGGCGCATTGCCGAGAAAGAGAAGACGGAAGAGGAGGCGCAGAAGATGTACCCGACTCTTGAAGGAGACGATCTGAACAACCAGGCGCTAGTAGATTTCTTGGGCTTTTTGAATAGGGCAAGAAAACAATATGTGAATACCAAACCCATTTGCTGTAAGTCATCATCTATCGCAAGTCAAAGAGAAATTACGCTAATACCAATCAGTCCTACAAATTCTGGTAACAGATCCGGATCATCACCGTAGGGGCGCAGGGTCTATGCTATTGAAGTGGGGTCTCAGCAAGGCTGACGAACTCGGTCTTCCGGGTTTCTTGGAGGCATCGCCTATGGGCAAGCCGCTGTATGAGAGGATGGGGTTTAAGACTCAGGAAACCGCGGTATTTGATCTGACAAAGTATGGGGCGGAAGGTGAGGATACAAACACGATCATGATCAGGGAACCGTCACCAACCAAGGCGTAAAATGATAATGTGGAGAAATACTGCGGGTTGTTCACCAGCGCCTCTATCAAACCGACGTGTAACTATCTAACCTCTGTAATGAAACCCATACATGAACCGGAGCCTCATTAGCACGATGGCTGTTATCTATCGAACCATGGTCACTTGATCTGCACAACCACGTGCCTCTCCCGTAGTTTCTCAAGTCTCATGTGAAAATCCAACTTGGCGCCTTTTTTATCGGGCTTTATCCAATCTGCCAATCCCTCAAATCGGATCTTCGACAGCCCGCTCATAGTGTCAAGCGTGCTAAAAAACTGCTCCACTATATCCTTTCTCTCCTTGTACTCTCGGTCGTATACCACAGGTCGTGTCACAGCAAGCGACTTGATCTCTGACACTGCCTCTCCCACCAGAGAGAAAAAAAGGACAGCACTGCGTATGCCAAGAAACCCAAGCTGACACGTTGCGCATAGGTAGGAGAATGCTTCAGCGCGGATCTGGCGGCATGTGCGAAAGAGAGGGGGGTGTAGTACCGTTGCGCCAAAATGTTCGGGCTTGGTACAGTTTGCTACGAAAAGGGACGATAAGTCTGCGTAGATGCTGTAGGCGTAGATCTGGTTGCGGATCTCGCCCGGCAGATCGAGGAAGGTGACGCGGGCCGTTCTCGGCTTTAGTACGTACGTAGGATTAGCAACCTGCGCGCATACGCGTCTGTTGCAACATACATTTTGGAGACTGGTCCTTTCTTCATTCCGTTGGCTCTGAAGCCACTTCTTGACTTTCATTTTTGCTGAGTACGGTGTCATCGCCCTGGTGCTGCTCTCATTACAAAGATTGCCACAGGTCAGCACTTTGCCTAATTAGGAGAGTGGTTGTCACTCAAGGTTTGACAGTGGAAATTGATACGGGGTCTCTGCAATGATAACACATCATGCACTTGTTCATACAGCTGGAATTTGGCGATATTTGCAAAATCGAAGGCCCATGTTCGGCCCTCCCTGGCCTGATGTTCTGTGTTCACTTGCAATATGTTGGGCTCGGCTCGTAAGTTACGTTGCACGTTTCATGTATTCGCGGCATATGGGCTTTCAAACGTGTGATCGTGTTTAAATCAAATCAAAACGCTGTATTAGAAAGGGCTATGTACATCAGAGGGCTGTCAACACTCATTCATCCTCGTCTTCTTTTTTCCGCTGACGATTAAGCTCATCAATCACCTTCTTGCCACATGCCAGTACCTCCATCGTCCGACTCTTATTGTCATGATCCCTCGTCTCAGGAACCAAGAAGTAAGTCGTCACTGCTCCAGCAAGCATGAACGCACTCATGACCTGCAGAACGTGCCCGAAATCCCGACGCTCCTCCCATTTGAGGTTGCCTCCATCGCCGTCTTTGCCAGTTTGGAAGGCATATGCAATGAAGATCTGCACAACCCAAGAGCCCAGCTTTCCAGCAGCTGCAGCTATTCCGTGACATGTACATCGGTATCTTGTCGGGAATATCTCAGCAGGGATGATGAATGTGGTTACGTTTGGTCCGAGGTTGAAGGCAATGTGACTCAGCACATAAAGAATGATAAGTCCAGATCGGCTGTTGTCCAAAAGTGTTGTCCAAGCACTTCCGGTGACGATAAACAGTACAAAAAGCACTACAAACCCCCAAAACTGGATGACTTTTGGAGAGACATACTTGACGATCTTGATCATCAAAAGGCCACCGACAACAGTGCCAATGGATACCATGACCAAGGTGTGTTTGCTGTTGCCGCTTAGGGTCGCATATACTGATTGCTTTTTATCAGGGTTTTCCTCCCAGATATGGCTGACGATTTTCGGCGATGAGAGTCCTAATCCGTAAACTGACGCAACATTAGTGGCGGTTCAAATGCGCTATCTTAACCCACTTACATGCGAAGTCAAGGAAAAGCCAGGCCAAAGATGTACCTAAGAGGTAGTGCCAATTCTTCTCTGTGATGAAGAAGTTTCTGGCATCTGCCCACGAAGCGAGTGGAGGAACGAAGTCAGGGTCACCGGGTAACGGCTGCACCGACTGAGGCTCATGTGGACGATTACCATCGTTGCTGTTACGATGCTCAGATTCGTCATCGCTGTAGACAATCTCATCGGGCGGTATACCCGAGGAGGTAGATGAACGCCGTGACATTGGCCTAGCTGGAGCTGAAGGTTGCACAATGTTCCGCATCTCAGCCTCGCCATTCTCTGGGTTGAACTCAGGCGCGCCAAAGTAGTTCGCGGTGTCTTCAAGAGTTTCCTTCGTATTCTGCAATATATCCAGTGTGTACCTTGGGCTTTCGGGGATTGTGAACCGGAAGGCAAGAGCGATGGTGGCCGGTACAACGCCGATACCTATGACTAGCCTCCAAAGTCGATCGACTGCGCGGAAACATTCCAAGTCATCATCCCGGCATGCTGGTAGTTCTTTCTCAATCCAAGGTTTGTACGCCTCCACTGCTGCTAGCGATAAGACATTGGCGAGCAGCTGTCCTACAGGTTGAGCGAAGAAGACCCAGCTCAACATGCGCGCGCGGTGTTTTCGAGGCGCAAACTCAGCCGTGATAACCTGGATTCGCAATTAACATGTGTTTGTTCAAAAAGGAAAGTCAATACTGTACCGCACTTAATGGATAGTCGGCACCGATACCAACTCCTACCTGGTGTCAGTGTACTCGATCTTGTGTCAATAAGCTGTCTGCGTACCCATAATTGCCCGCCAGGTGATCAGCCACCCCCCAATCGCCATACTATTTTTCTCACCGTTGGAACTCATCAACAGCAGCATGGTGCCGACTATGATAATCACCAACTCGAGTCCGTACATTTTGCGCCTTCCAAGAAAGTCTGCGGCAACGCCGAATCCTATCTGTCCGAGCATTGTAGCAGCAAGTGTTGAACACATCATGGCAGTCTTGACTTCTGATGGTACATTTGGCATACCATTGTCGAGATTACGCGGCCAGTACACATATCCCAGCATTGGGGTGACAACATTCAGGGCGAACAGGCCGAATGCGTCGGTCAAGAAGCCTATGCCCGCGACTACAACCACCCAGATTTGAAAGGGCGCGGCATCGATTGTGGCCAGTGTCCATTTCCGCCGCCTTATTTCCTTATAGAAATGTCATTCGAATGAAGGAGATGATTCGACCTCATAAAAAGACTTACAGGAATACCACTGCCTCCAGCCGTGAGGTCCTCTACACCGATTTGATGACCTTTGATTGGTCGCGTAATCCAATTGCGAAGACCCATGGTCACGTGGAGATGATCTCCAAGAAGACAGTCTCACTATTCAAGTATGTCAGATAAAGAAAAGGTCAGTTGTATGTTGCATCTGCAGCAAGTTCGGCTCACGACTGCCTTAATCATATCGCAGATGAGCAAAGCCTCAGCCACATTTACAGAGCATGCTGCGCACAAATGGCTGGATATATGCACTGCCCCATTTAACAAGGCAGACCGGTCAACGGAAAGATAGCTATGTGGGCCAGCACTCCTCTCTCAGTTGCTACACTGGCGAACAGCCCGTTCCCGCTCGCCGAAGTCAGACTTGGTGGCGTTCATGGTTGTATCGAATCACACTGAGGTCTCGATTGAGATGGCTAGGGGCCCAGCGGTCACCGTTAATGGAAAGGTATACACAGTAGTGCTACCTGCATTGCCTTTGCAATCGACACGGCGGCGCCTCCAGCAGTGTTGGATTGGTGGAGCTCAGGGCAAAGGCAAAGGGGCCATGTAGACATGGCTATCCCGCAATCCAATCTCATGGAAATAGAACCCAGCGCATGCATTCTCGTGGGAAAGCCACGCTGTTCCGAGTAATGAGGGCGCGAGGTTGGGATGGTCGACGATAGCCGTTCGCTTCCCCACGTGTTGTTGTTCGACGTCTCATTGAACGTTGGGCGTCCAGCCTCGGTAGCGCCACATGTATCAACACGACCTCCGTCCCCTGACCAACTCACGATGGGCAATCTTGTCCTCCCATCTTGCAAGGCCTCGACAAGCGTGTGCCTGGCCCGCAATCGGTCGGCAATCAGTATGCTGAGCCACCCCCATATGCCGCAACGGTCTCGCTTTGGGACAGCCGGGACCCACGCGTGCTCACAAGACGGGCGCAAGCTCAGGCGACACTGCCTACAATACTGTCACCCTCTTCTGAGAGCCTTACGCTTCCTCCATGTTGCATTCTACTGAATACGAAAAGTTCCTTGTGCATGAACAAACCTTACACTGTTAGTGTTGCGCTTCAGCGCGGCGCAAGACGACCACCATGTCTTTCGGATGCAGCCCATCAGATGTGTTGAAACTACTCGAGTTCTCCACTCGGGTATACCTTGCTTTCAAAGGTACGTCGCTTATCAGAACCGCATGACAAAGCCCAGGACACTGACCCATGCCTAGATGCCAACGAGAATTCGGAAGCACAGGTGGCCGGCCTGGTGAAGGAGTTCACTGCCTTTCACACCTGCTTGGTCGAGCTGGGTGAGTTGATGAAGCAGTATGGCCAGCCCATGCCTTTTCCCGTCAAGGAGTTCGAGGCAACACTCAAGAGATGTGAAAAGACACTCGATCCATATGCAGATCACCTGGTCGACAAAAAGATGGGCGTCAAGAAGTTCATTTTCACAATCAGATACATGGGCATGGAGAAAGAGATAGACGGGCTGAGGAAGCAAATCACTGGCCACTACCAAGCATTACACATGTGCATATCATTTCTCCAACTGTAAGTTTTGGTGTAATTCTCACGATAGTATTCCAAGGCTAAGAATCCATAGTCGCTTGCACCTTGAGGCAACCAAGCAAACTCAACGTCTTCTCGACGCCGCACCGCCACGTACTGTAACCCTGGGAGGCCGTGCTTACTCAACCAGTGCACTGGGATTTTCATCTCAACACGCACCTTTATCGCTACCTGCACCAGATGAGCATCCACTTTTCAGCGAGTGGGTCATCTTCGATCGTTGGCTGCAGAGCGAGGATGAGCGCATCGCTAGAGAAACAGAGCACTCTCGCCCCCTGTCACTAGGCGATACACCTGCTGCTCTACCAAGCGACGATGATCAAACTGCTGCTATACTATACCATCTCCGTCGACAAGTTGACGATGCTATCCTAATTGAGGAAAACCGCACAAAACGCATGACTGCTGAGAAGCGATCGCATCTTTCGCCAAGCGACGCCATACGACAGGAGGTTCGCAACATGCCGCCAGCGCCTTCACGTACGTACACTCTGGACACTGATCACTCTGGAGATTTTACGGGTTTTTGCCAGCATCAAATGAGCAGTTCTTCGGAAACTGCTCGGCCAAGTTTGAGCATCCCGTTGTCGCACTCGCCTCCATCTGTTGGCCCACGTGGGGATTCATACTTTAGCTCCATAGATTGGGCTCAATCTCCCACGGATACATCTGCCTTCCATGATGCAGGTAGGACGTCTGTTTCTACCAATAGAAGCAGCATAAGCCATTCTCCAGGATCACAGCCACGTTCCTGCAGTGCTGACTTGAGCCCCGGGGGGACTATCCCAGAGACCCTAGCATCGTACAGCCTACGACGCAGTCTATCTCGCACATCGCTAGCAACAATGGCTCTGGGAGAGGCGGCACTCGACTGGAAGCGTATTTGCCGCTCCGTCGAAGTCGAGCGTAAATCCGTCAAATACGGAGCCGAAAGCCGCGACTGCGACGTCCGATGGCGATACCGCGAAGACACGGGCATATCCATCCGCGCCGTATACCACTCCAGTCAAGACGGCAAGCTTCG